TTTACTTAGAAGGTATGTTTTTCCCAAGTTCAAACGTTGATGTAGAACCTTCCTTGCCATGTAGGCGTATCTGTTTTCATTTCACTATCACCACACACACATAAGTGTGGCCATTGTCAGTGTATTGCTCTCCTCTGCAGTGCTGGTGTTGGTAGGACAGGGACATTCATAACCATAGACCATGTCCTGGAGCAGAGGGAGACAGAGGGAGTGGTGGACATCCCTGGAGCCATCCTCAAACTCAGACAACAGAGAACCAACATGGTCCAGACTCTGGTACACACACATTGCACTGTTTTTCATTCTCCCCAACTTTGTCTGTGCACACTTTTTTGTAAGCTATTCTTTCACTGTACAGTTATTCCCACTGTGAAGCTTTTGGTATGCAGCAATGTTTGTCTCTCGCAGTGTGTTTATGCATTCTTTTTGTGGGTTATTGTTTCACCTTTACATGCAGTTATGCCCGCAAATTCACTGTATACTTTCATTCTGATAACTGGCCACACTTGATGTTGTTTCTTCCAGGACCAGTACATCTTCATCCATGATGCTATACTGGAGTCAGTCACATGTGGAGACACTGAGATCAAAGCTGCTGATTTGAGGAGGAAACTGGTCAAACTCAAGAGAAAGGACGATTCTGGACTTTCTGGACTTGACCTTCAGTTTGCCGTAAGAGGGCTTTTGACTCTTTAACAACCCACTCATACATATAATGTACACCATGAACAATAACACAGATACTGGACCAAGTGAGCGGAAATGTAGGAGATGCGCAGTCCGTTGCTGCCCGAAACAACCCCACCAAGAATAGAACTACTGATTTTCTGCCAGGTTCTCCCCCACAACTTCTTTAATTTTTATATCCATCGTGTGCCTGTCTTCCTTTATAAAACACAAGTGGACAAATGGAGAGTTGTTTTGAAAGGAGAAAATCCAGACTACATACATGCCACCAATATCCGCGTAAGCACCCAACACCCAAGTGTCTGTCTATGGAGCCACAAGGGTGTTTCCTCCCTATGTAGGGCTACAAGCAGCAGAGAGCGTTCATCATCACCCAGGGACCGATGCGCTGCCACTGCCAGAGACTTCTGGAAGATGGTCTACAGCAGGAAGTGTAGTGTGGTTGTCATGCTCTCTGACCTCATTGAACAGAATGAGGTGACACTTTTTGTTAGTACATACAAACGACAAGCGCTCACTCCATCCCTAGAGGATCAGCATTGAGTTTACCGAAGGCTAGTATACTGCTTTAATGCTCTCTGTATATCTGTGTGTTTTCTGCCAAGAGCTGAGACTCATCATTATGTGTTTATTCCAGGAGGTATGCTACCAGTATTGGCCAGAGAAGAGGACTCAGAGCTACGGAGAGTTCAGTGTAGAGCTACTGAATGAGGAGAGGAAGAGAGGATTCTTACTCAGGACCTTCTCAGTCCAGGAAGCCAAGGTAAATGTAGAAAGAGAGGTGGAGAATGAGTCAGATGGTGATTGGTAAATGGTATATAAGAGATGCTTTCTTTCGTGGTCCTAGTCCGGTACAGCCCATCAGGTGTGGCAGTTCCACATCCCAGAGTGGAGCTCAGACTACCAGTGGCGTGGGGATGTGAATGCCATGGTCTCTGTCATAGAGGAAGTCTCCAAGGTCCAGAGGAAGACTGGGAACCACCCCATTGTCGTCCATGGACTGTGAGTTTAGATTCCCACGTATGCAGCAGACTGAATGTGTCACAATCTAGCGTGGCCTTTTGCACCATTATTTGCATCCTCTTTTCAATTATCTTCAGTAACACAGTGAGTAGATCAGCCATATTCTGTGGTGTGGCCACCACCATTGAGAGGTGTAAGACAGAGGGAGTGGTGGATGTGTTCCAGGTGGTCAAGGCCATGAGAGTTCAGAAACCTGGAGCAATACAAACTTTGGTATGATTACTAGCACTTATAAAATGTTGATGCACGCACATTTTTCCACTTGCAGGAACAGTATACAGTCGATATTTGAAGCTCTTTTGGCGTATATTGACTCATTTGAAACATACTCAAATTTTGCTTCTTAGACGAGTTATAGCTATAAGTTCATGCAACACAATTGTTGCCAAGTGTGTATTCGTTTTAGTTCTGATGTTATTTACTCCACAGATCCTGGAGTGTTAGTTGCATGTCAACTGCCGAGGCGCATGCGCATGAAAGGCCAGGCCTTGGGGGGCGTGGATGAAGGGGGCTGGACTAGCCGGGTAACGGAGGAGAGAGAATGGGATCAGTTACGCTTGCGAGATGTTCGCTCTGACAGGGCGACCCACAGTAAGCCGATTTCCTGCAGTTTGTTTATCAGAAAGATTACTCATTCAGGTGACAACAAACAAAGTCGACATACGTAGCTGCTGGCCATAATACATGAAAAGCACTAAGTGCAAACCCTCGGCGAACTGCGCATGCGCTGTACCGCTAATTGATGGCTGGGCCTATTATACTAGTATCGTACGTTTTACTTCCGCTTAAGTCTGAAACGGGCTAGCTACAGTAGTAGATAGCATGCGGGAGTCGATACACGCCCTTCGTTGTGACTTCTTGTGCCTCCGAAGTACACAGAGCAAGAAGATCAGGTCGAGGTAGCTAGTTAACCCTCTGCGCGCATGCGCAGTCGAGGGTTACGGTATTACAATAAGAAAAGAAAAAAATTACATAAAAATAAATAATTATAATTAAATAAAAAAGGGATCAAAATAAATCCTAATAATATCTAAAACCTTCCATATTCATATATAAAACTCTCCCTCCTCTCCTCCTCCCCCCTCTCCTCCTCCCACACCTCCTCTCTCCCTTCTCCCCCCTCTCTCCCTCTCCTCCCTACTAAAAACAATATCTATATATTTACATCCGTACGGTGTCAGTCGGCCGTCTGGTCTGTCTGGCTGTCCTGTCCTGTTACCAACCACGTTTTTCTCTGCCATCCGACGCGCGCACGACATGCAGTAAATAGCGATATGATCGGGTTCAGTGCTACACTGGGTTGATTTAAAAAAGGCGATTTCGTAAACTACTGTGTTTTAAAGTTATGGCGTGAGAAACAAGTGAACAAGCCATATGTAAATTAGCACAGGCTACCCTCGACGCGTCCCCGCGTGTGTCTGAAGGCCACAAGTCACACGAAGGGCACTGTATCGACTCTTCTCTTCTTCTTCTTTGTACCAACCTCCACTGAGGAGAGTAGCCCTAGTGCGGGCGAAAATGTAAGTGACATCAGGTAGAAGACGAGTGCGAGCAGTATAGAATGATGGGTGGAGAAAGTCATGCACGCGTGCTGCACGGGGGTGGCGTCAACCACTCGGTGCCGAGGTATGAGCGAGACGAAACGGGTTCGGTCCGAGGCACGTAACGGACGCAAGAGGGTGGGGCATAGGTCAAATTCGCACGTGCAGGTGTTAGGGCAGGGCAGTTCGCTATGAGGTGGGAGCGTCCTCAGTTGCTGAGTTGCAAAGGGGACAGAAGTCTGTAGAGGAGGGGATTGTCGTGGAAGCGACAAACGTCAGATGCTAGCCCAAGCACGCATGCTATTTACTACTGTAGCTCGCCGTGCCAGAGCTCTCCGCGCGCTACTAGCGCTAGCGGGATACCACGATCGACGAGTAAGGCGATAAAAAACCAGCCCATCAATTAGTGGTACCGCAACATGGCGCAGTTCGCCGAGGGTTTGCAACTTAGTGCTTTTCCTTCTAATTAGCCTATTGGCTCTGTTCACTTGGGTTGCACGCCATAAACGTCTGACCGCGCACTTTTACCGAAATCGCCATTTTTAAAATCACGCAGTGTAGCTGCTGAACCCGTTGGTGTCGCTATTTTATACCTGTTTTGTTTGCGCGTTCGGTGGCGAGAAAACGTGGTAACAGACGGACAGACAAGACAACAGACAGACAGACAGACAGACGGACAACCAAGTACTATAACCCTCGCTGGCGCCATGCGCGCCGTGCGCATGCGCGCCGAGGTTAATAACAGTATATGGTAGCTTGTATACATGATTGTGTTCCACCCAGACGTCGGATTGTGCTAAAGCGCAGTAGAGACATATATATGTGCTATGTGAATGCACCACAGGCACCACACATTCCCCTCACCTCGTCCATGCAGCCAGGGACTATGCTCCCAAGTGATAGTCGCCATAATCCCTGTCTCTCTCAGACCTTATCAGTTCAGGAAGCAAGGTAGATGTAGAAAGAGAGGTGGAGATGAGTCAGATGTGATTGGTAATGGTGTATACGAGATGCCTCCGTTTCTTTCATGCAGGTGTGGCCGTTCCACATCCCAGAGTGGAGCTCAGACTATACCAGTGGCTGTGGGGATGTTGGATGCCATGGTCCTGTCTGTCGTAGAGGAGTCTCCAAGGTCCAGAGGAAGACTGGTAAACGGCCACCCTCATTGTCGTCCATGACTTGAGTTATTTAGCTAGTGGATGATTATAAAGCTGTCAATGGACAAAAACGCAACTGCAAGGCATACACCCACAACAACCCTTTCTCGTACTGACATGGAGCGTGAAAATTTTAATGCACATTAAGAGTTATTAACCCTATCAAATTGAAGACAGTCAGTGTCACTGTACGGCTCTGAGTTAGCAAATGTCCTCACAAACAGGCCAAACCTATCATCCCTCCACATACAACTGACGCCCTTTACTAGACATGTAGAGTTCATCTTAAACTGTTATTATTGGTGTCTGTATATTCAATAGCAATGACCGGACGCCATGAGTTCTGAACATTCTGGTATATCCAAATCTATTGCTATACAGTGATACAGTGAGTAGATCAGCCATATTCTGTGGTGTGGCCACCACCATTGAGAGGTGTAAGACAGAGGGAGTGGTGGATCAGTCAATTTTTGAAGCTCTTTTGGTGTCCATATTTGAAACATATTCAAACTTTACAACGTAGTTTTTGTTTCATCGTCATATAAGGTTTTATTATTAGTCTGTAAACTACACGATGCGCAGATCGTCATAATTGTGCTAACATGGTTGTGTACGTGTATGTTACCGTGGCCGAGAAGTACATTCGTACTTTGCACTTCGTGGTTCGCACTTCGCGGTTCGCGCTTCGCACTTCGTGAGCCGGCACTTCCCGCTTTCCCATAATTTTGTGCCTCTAGTTTCTCGTTCGTACTTCGCACTTCGCGTTTTCCCGTCATTATGTGCCTCCAGTTTCTCGTTCGTACTTCGCACTTCGCGGTTCGTGGTTCGTGGTTCGTGGTTCGTATATACTTCGTGGTTTGCAGTTTGCGCAGAGCAGCGAGGACGGACCTACGTCACGTAACGCGTACGGCAGCCATGTATGGAGAATCAAGGGAGACGCCTGCCTTACCCCGCAACAACCTATAAAAGCTCTTCGTTAGATTCCAGATATCTCGTCATTTCCACCTAGCCCCTACCTTCCTGCGGCTTCACCTGTGGCGGATAAGCCTAAGTGGAGGTCTAGAAGACGTCCAAGGTATTGCGGTTCGCCCTGTGTTGGCCTCACACGTTGTACGCCAGCTTCAATGGCGAACATTTCCGCAGGAATGTAGGGGCTAGGTGGAAATGACGAGATATCTGGAATCTAACGAAGAGCTTTTGTAGGTGGTTGCGGGGTAAGGCAGAAAACCGAGGCGTCTCCTTTGATTCTCCATACATGGCTGTCGTGCGCGTTACGTGACGTGTGTCCGTCCTCGCTGCTCTGCGCAAACTGCAAACCACGAAGTACGAACCGCGAAGTGCGAACCGCGAAGTATATGCGAACCGCGAAGTATATACGAACCGCGAAGTGCGAACCACGAACCACGAACCGCGAAGTGCGGAGTACGAACGAGAAACTAGAGGCACAAAATTGCGGGAAAACGCGAAGTGCCGGCTCACGAAATGCGAAGTGCGAAGTACTAACGAGAAACTAGAGGCACAAAATTATGGGAAAGTGCGAAGCGCGAAGCACGAACCGCGAAGTGCGGAGTGCGAACCACGAAGTGCAAATTGCGAATGTACTTTTCGGCCACCGTAGTATGTGTAAGTGCGTACGCATGCGTTGAATTAAGAAAACGCCGGCCACGTGCGCGGCTGGTCTGCGCAGGTTTGGTGTGCTACGGGCCATGCACTGCAGTCAGAAAGACATGTCAGGTTATGCATATATAGTCTGGTGCCCAGCCTTTCACAAAAGCAGCGTCACACCCGTGGGCACCAGACATAGATGAGAGCTCGCGCTAAGATCGGCCAAATCCAAGGCTGATTGTCGACGTGTTGTGGCGTAGCCAAAGTATATACGCTGAGAATACACCTTGAAAATCTAGAATAACTTCCGATTCCAGCACCGTATGCGTCCACACTTGGTATCAAAATGAAGCGCTTTCGCACTCCGGTTCATTCAGCGCTTCCAAATCCGCTGCGTAGTTTTCTTCGCTACGCACGTTATGCATTTTTATATAAAGTATTATATATCCGCAGACCATTCATTACAAAGCAAAAAAAACAAAACCAAAAAAAACGGCATACTTTACATACGGCGAACAGTACCGCCCTCCTCATTATCTACTTCCGCATGCATTCTCAGCTACTTTAGACTCCTCGGCGCGCATGCGCAGCGAGAATACTGTAGTTAAGTTACACTAGACCCACGAGGCGGTTTAGTGTATATAACCCTCGGCGCGCATGCGCAGCGAGGGTTACTGTAGTTGGGTTTGTCTGTGTGTCTGTTACTCTCAATCTCACTTCTCGGGTGTTTGTTCGTCTCACAAAGGATACGACCTACTTAACGGGCAATGACGGTTTTCTCTGAAACTGCTCCGTTGCAAAGCTAGAGCGCTTCCAGCATTGTATGGCATGCCTGTAGTCGCCATTTTTACCGCTACGGATAATGCGCATGCGCTTATATTTAGCACAGGCTTACCTCGACCGGGTCCGCTTGCTCTGTCTATCTTGAAGGCACAACAAGTCACAACGAATGGCGTGTATCGACTCTCGCATGCTATCTACTACTGTAGCTAGGGCTCTCTGCGCGCTACTAACGGGACACCGCGAGTAAACGCTAATAGCCCAAGCCCATCAATTTCAGGGGTATATACCGCACATGTGCAGTTCGCCGAGGGTTTGCACTTTAGTGCTGCTGCTTTTCATTCAAAGGTTTTAATGCACTGCAAGCCAAACAAGAATAGGCACGGCATGTTTTACAAAAAATAAAGTTACTTGTAAGGTCTAGCATACATGAAAATATCAGAAGTAGCGGACGAAAGAGAGTTGATAATCTGGTCTGGGTCTGAGAGAGGCGTGTGAGAGAGAGTATAGTGATGAAAGTAAGAAACATCCATTGTGGCACCACAGAGATGACAGATGCCTGGCTGAAACTGTGGCCTGGTCAATTCGCGATAAAGGGCCTGTAGAGAGTCAGTACCACGAGGTCCGTAATCAAGTGCCATATCCCACAGCTTCATCCAAGATGTATCAGCAGCTATTCCTGATGCAATCGCTGTACTGTTGTGACGGCTGGCCTCATTACCCTCGGCGCGCATGCGCAGCGAGGGTACTGTAGTTGGGTGTGTGTGTGTCTGTTACTCTACATCCACTTCTCGAATGTTTGTTAGTCTCACACCTACTTAACGGGCAATGAAGGTCAGAAATTATGAACGGTTTTTCTCTGAAAATGCTCCGTTGCAGAGCTAGAGCGCTTGCAGCATTGGGCAAATGCTGGCGGTTAATGCGCATGCGCTTATATTTAGCACATCGACCGGGTCCGCTTGCTCTGTCTAAAGAAGTCACAACGAATGGCGTGTATCGACTCTCGCGTGCTATCTACTACTGTAGCTAGCCCGTGTCAGGTTCTCTACGAGCTACTAACGGGAGACCGCGAGTAAACGCATACAATACTAATAGCCCAGCCCATCAATTTTAGGGGTACCGCACATGCGCAGTTCGCCGAGGGTTTGCACTTTTAGTGCTGTCTGTCTGTCTGTCCGTGTGTCTGTCTGTTACTCTACATCTCACTTCACGGGTGTTTGTTCGTCTCACAAACGATGCGACGTACTTAACGGGCAATGAAGGTCAGCGGTTTTCTCTCCTTTGCAAAGCTAGAGCGCTTCAAGCATATTTAATGCATTTTTATCGCTGCGGAAAATGCGCACGCGGTTATTATGCCTAATTCGATCGGGCCAGCTTGCTCTGTGTATCTTGAAGGCACAAGAAGTCACAACGGGGCGTGTATCGACTCCCGCATGCTATCTACTACTGTAGCTAGCATAGTTGCCAACCGTCCCGTAGTCCCAGTAGTTTAGGCCTTGTCCCGGCGGTGTCACGGTCGAGGCAAAATAGCAGTCCTCTCTGACAATAGTTCGCATTTCTGAGATACTTCCTCGCATTATCCCCGCCCACTTCACGTATGCGCATGCGTATCACGAACATAATGCACAACCGTCCATGGAAATTACGTCATTATTAGTGGGTGTGGCACGTAAATTAGGGGGCGTGGTAAAAAAATCGCCCGCTATCCCGGAATATCCTGTTGAAAAGTTGGCAACTATGAGCTAGCCCGTGTCAGACTCTCCGCGAGCTATACCGAGACCACCACGAAATAGCCCAGCCCATCAATTAGCAGTACCGCGCATGCGCAGTTCGCCGAGGGTTTGCACTGTTTCATTAGTGTGTGTGTCTCTGTCTCGACTACGCACAACGAGACAACAAACCAACGGGTTCATCGCCACACTGGCTTAGTTTTAATTCGAGGTAGTAGCTAGTTAGCTCGAACAACAACCAGATTTACTTGTCATTCCTAGTTTTCAGCATTTTCAATGCAGATGTTGAAGAATTTGGAAGTGGCTATCCTGATATGTGTCTGTGTTCACTGTCTGTTGGCTCAGACATTTCCATATGTCAGCTTCAATGGACAAACTCTGGCAAACCATAGCTATGTGAACCTCAGTCTTGTGGAGAATGATGCCAGTGGTAGTAACAGTGTTCAGTGTCACACTGACCTGGATACATGCTGCAGTGGTGCACAGGGTTCACACAGAGGAGACTGGTACTTTCCTAATGGAACACGGCTATCAGTCCCTAAAACTAGTGATGATATCTATGCGACTAGAGGTGCCGAAACAGTTTATCTTCATCGTAGCAACCAGAATACATCTGGTATATATCGTTGTGACATAGCAACAAATGCAGTTCATGATGACACTCCTACAAGTGTACGAGATACAGTGTATGTTGGACTCTATCTCAATGAAGGTGAGCAGTGCTAGCAACACCAACAACTTTTATTGTCATTCATTAGGTGATATCGCTGTAGCTGAGATCACAACAAATTTAAAGATAGATAGTTGTATTTCACAACTCATCCTCACCTGTATCTCCACTGGTGGACCTGCTACCACTGTCACTTGGACCAGAGACTCCACCACTGTCACACAAGGAAATGAGAGTGTGTTGAATAACCCAGTGACTTCAACGTACACCCACACTCTGACTGTGACTGGGACTCTGGTGGGAGGAAACTACACATGTACTGTGTCCAATAACAAGCCATCCAGTAAATCATCGAGTATCACAGTTAGCTGTAAGTACAGTAGTAATAGGGATGATAATGGTACACATTGTTGGTTCATTTGGCTATTCCAGTTCCATCTAATCTGATGCTGGAGCAAAATAACGAGACAAGCATCAATGTATCATGGAGTCCACCTCTCCAGTCTGCAAACATTACTGGATACAGAGTGTTCTGGACTCAGTGTGCCTCTTCTGACTGTATCAACCAAACTGTGATCACTTCCTCGACCAATGAAATACTCACAGGCTTGATGGAAGGGCAGTGCTACAGTGTTTCTGTGGTTAGAGTCTCATGTCTCCCAAGCGATACTGCAACCCGCAATATAACTTTAGGTAATTATTTCCTTGTTGCTAGAAGTTTCTGTCTCACAAAATTATATTTTCTCTTGTTAGTTACCAATCCAGGTAATATCAGCATTGATGTGGTATCTACTTATAGCCATGGTTTCTCATTGCTGGTTAACCTTAGTAACTATGTAGAAAACGGGATCTATCGTATTATGACCAATGTGACTTTGTTGAGATTTTTGCACTGTAACAATGGTCTTGAAGGCTCTAATGTGACCTACCAGACATATGATGTGAATCCAATGAATCTAATCATTACCGGATTAGTTCCTAACAGTAAATACAATATGACAGTGGTGGTAGGTAATGCTCTGGGAAGCAGAAAACAGAGTTTTTCTAATCAGACTCAGCCAGCAGGTACAGTCATTAACCCCTATGAACCAAACCTTTACACATGTTAAATTATTCTGCAGCACCATCTGCCCCACCACAAGACATAGTGGCAGTAAACCAGACCCTCTTCACCATCACCATCAGTTGGCAGCCTGTTGACTGTGCCCATCAGAATGGGAATATAACAGGATATGAAATACGATATCGGAAAAAAGACAGTGTAAATACCGAAGCAGTGTCGGACAGAGTCATAATGGGTGCAGATTATACCCTAACAGACTTGCAGCCATCAACTACATACTTGATTCAAGTGGCAGCAAACAACACAGCTGGAAGAGGAGTTTTTGGAAGCATATCAGCATCAACACTATGTGAGTTCAGTACTTTCAAGCACATATGATTAGTTACCAAGTTCTTTTGTGTGCAGTTGAAGTTCATGTGATATCCACAACATCAACTTCCATTAACATATCATGGCCCGAAGTTGACTATGAAGTCCTAATCACATGGATCAGCACTCTATCAAGCCATTGTACACAAAATATCAATCAAAGTTTAAAGAACGATTCTGTGAATGGGCAAGCCTCTTATGTGATAGATGGTCTGAAAGTATTCACCGAGTATAACATCACACTTTGCATAAATGGCTCTATCAGTACTTTCAAGACTGTAGTGACTAATGCAACTGGTGTGTTCATTTCATAATCTTGTACGATTCTTAAAAATTGCCCATTTTTTCAGCACCATCTGCATCTCCAAAAGGAATGTCATGGGAAGGAAGTTCATCGACAACCATCGCTATAAAATGGGGTCCTGTGCCATGTGCTGATCGCAATGGAAATATCACTAGTTATGTGGTGATGTTCAGAGAAAATGGGAAGGAAATGTTCCATAATGAAACTACTACTGGAGGTGATATGGAGTTCACTATCACTGGGTTAGAACCATCGACTGAGTATGAGATTAAAGTTGCTGCTTTCACTGTGGCTGTTGGACCGTTCACTAATGAAAGCTTGTTTGCAAGCACCACAGGTAGCTATATGCATAAGAGCTGTATCAGTACCCTGCACGTTTGCGTGATATACAGACTCACCCAACATAATTGACCTTTGTACTGACAACTGTATATATCTCCTCCTACCACAGCAGACACTAGAGAAGGTGGCAGTAATGTTGGTGGAGTAGTGGCTGGTGTGATAGTGTCTGTTCTGTTTCTTATTGGAGCTACTCTGGGCATCATTGCTGCTATCTGGCTAATGAGAAGGTGTAGATGTGCACTGGGAATGTTTTTTCATACCTACACTGTTGTGTGTGCTCTGCAGGAAAAAGTCAACTATGAAGGGTCTTTTCTCAATGGGTCACTTTAAAGTCATGCGCAAACAAAGCACCTTGCCACACTCTAGAGATACACAAGACATATCTCTGGACCAGCTTTCCAGTGAGTCAATACTGAGACTAGTTAGTATCTTGTTCTCAGCTGGAGGGAGTCTGGCAGGTGTACAGCTATCCTCTGAGAAAGATGAAGTCAAAACACACTTGCAGTCTCACTCTGACAGTCCCTCACAACAGCCAGCTGCAGTACAAGCTATACCCTATCTCTCCTATCTAGCTGATGAGGAGGTAGAGGAGGAGAGGAGGAGGAGGAAGAGGCTGATCCTGTCCCCAAGCCTTCAGCTAAGTTTCATGCAAGACCAGTACCTCTGCCAGTGGCTCTGTTTGGGAGCAATGTGGAGAAGAAACAGGCAAACAACAACCAGCTTTTCATGCCTGAGTTTGAGGTACAGCCAATTTCTATAACAGGTATATATAAAACCATTTCTCTTTGTTGCTCTGTGTGTGCAGGCACTGGGAGATGGTGAAGGAAAGACTGTTACTGTAGCAAAGACACCACGAAACAAGAAAAAGAACCGTTTTGCCAATATTTCACCATGTAAGTATTTCAAGCCCAACAACAAACAACAAAAAACAATAGATTGCTCTGCAATAATTGGCAGATGATGATAATCGTGTGATCCTGAGCCCACTGGGTGACCTCACTAATGAGTACATCAATGCAAGTCATGTGGATGTAAGTCAATGCTTGTAGTGGCACACCATAAACTACATGCGTGTCCATGCAACTCTCTTATCTAATCCACCCTCAGGGTTTCTCCAAACCAAAGAAGTTTATTGCAGCTCAAGGTAAACATTGAAAAGTGTATATGTGGTGCATAACACATTGTCTTGTTAGTATAATAACAAGTGGAAAAATCATTTCTTCAAAATGAAAGGGGGATATAGGGATGGCTTGAAGCACCAAAAAGGAAGAAACAAGGGGTCATTACACAGCAAAGTTGCACAAAGCTACATGACACCATCCCTATATCTTTGTTTGATATTGTTTGATATTAAACTTTGCTTATAAACAATAAAACAAAGATATAGGGATGGTGTCATGTAGCTTTGTGCAACTTTGCTGTGTAATGACCCCTTGTTTCTTCCTTTTTGGTGCTTCAAGCCATCCCTATATCCCCCTTTCATTTTGAAGAAATGATTTTTCCACTTGTTTCCACTATTTTTAACAGCTTCTGGCAACACTGCATTTATTGTTACAGTCACTCTGATGTTCATGGCTATGTTGTAGATAGGCTACCATAGACAAATTGAAAGTAGTAGCTAATGGGGCTGCTAGATACCATGTATTGTCTTCAACAAGGATGTAATTAGATTATTGCACATGGTTGTGGTTTCATTGGCAGGCTTTGGTAATCAGGCTACAACCTGGGGGGGGACAAACAATGAAGGCCCATTTGACTGAGTGCCCCGCAAGGCTCGCGTAACACCGCGCAGACTCTGGCAAGTTGCTCTTCGTGCATATCAACAGCAAGATAGCCAGTTGGAAATGTGCACACTTACTTACAGAAGGTACTGGAGGCTGACAGTTCCTCTGCAGGTCTGCCAACTCGCCCGGTAGAATACGCTCGCAAGCACATTGGACAACGCCCCTGCCTGGCGCATGCGCGCGGATCACTGATGCTGAGTAAGCAGCAAATGGCGTTGTTCAGGTCGACCAGGGAAGAGCTCCATGATCTACCGTAGTGACTAGCGGCAAGAAAGAAACGATCGCTTGATGTCCGTGCACACCTCCGGCGAAATTGGAGACCTTCAGTGAAAAAATCAGTGCTTGAACTGGTACTGGTAAGGAGATAGCGGGTTTAAAGAAGAAGAAGAAGAAGAAGAAGATGAAGAATATGATGACACGAAAATCGTGAAATCGCGTATGAGCGAATTCTCGCGTGGACGACTGAAGGTGCGTATGAGCTCTTGGGGGACATGTATAGGTAGACATGGGCCCGTAGACTATTGCTAGTATGTTTTGAAGGCCTAGGAAGTGATTCTCACCGAGTTTTTAGTCGTTTTGTACGCGGATCACGTGAGATTTCACCCGCGTCATCCCTATATAGAGAGTCTACCGACTCTCTAATTATAGCAAACATGATGTATCCCTATACCCAGGGCCAATCCCCAGTTGTATAGTTGACTTCTGGAGGATGGTGTGGCAGGAGAAAGTGCCGTCAGTGGTGATGATCACCAACCTGGTGGAGGGGAAGAAGACAAAGTGTGAGCAGTGCTGGCCGTCCTCTGGGTCTCAGGATTTCGGGCCGTTCCACGTATCCATCACTCACCAATTCACCCTCGCTGACTACACCATGAGAACACTCAGTGTTGATGTATTAGGGAGAGAATACTGGGTCCACATTTTGCACAAGCAGTAGATCAGTTAGTTTCTGGCAAAGTCTAGTACTATAGAGCAGTAAATTTGATTCAACATAGCAGAACATTATTATGTATGTAGTACAAGAGAAACAAAGAGGCCTGAACCAACTTGGAAATACACACACCCTGTATCCTTCTCCTGCCAATAAGATGTACTTTTTTGTTCCTGTGTAACCACCTAATTTCGTTCTATTTGGTGTTTCTATACCATCCCTATACCCCACTTGAAGTATAAGTTGTATCTCTGCTGATGAAAGACCACAAGGCCCACAGAGGTCCTCTACTAGTGCACTGTAGATAAGGTGTAATGGAATCCAAAGAACACGGCATTTAGGAGATGATTTCCTCTCTCTTTCAGTTCAATGTGACAATGCTGTGTTACACATAGTGTGGCTGGTGTATTACGTTGCCGCAAACACATTGTTGTCCATGAACTTGCAGTTAGGTGCAACTGGCATGGGACTTCATTTTCCTTTCCTATAACATTGCAATATTCCCAAGTGTTTATCAGATGTTGTGCATAAATGCTGGGTCATACTTGGGGGAGACCCCCAGTATACCAAGTCAAAGTCTAAACCCTGTGCAATGATCCCCTGGTATATGTTCTCCCCTTTGCAGTGCTGGTGTTGGTAGGACAGGGACATTCATAGCCATAGACCATGTCCTGGAGTAGAGGGAGTGGTGGACATCCCTGGAGTCATCCGCAAACTACGGCAACAGAGAACCAACATGGTCTAGACTAACCTCAACCTAACCCCCCCCCCCAGGTCTTTGCACATGTCTGATGTGTTTTATAGTGGCAATTTGCTGTGCACACATTCAGCTTTCAAATTTATGTATACTTTTCAAAGTCACATTATGTGTAATGTGTTTCTATTGCTTCACTGTGTCTTTATTTCAGGACCAGTATATCTTCATTCATCATGCAATACTGGAGTCAGTCACATGTGGAGATACTGAGATTGAGGCTGGAGACCTGAGGAAGAGATTGGCTCAACTCAAGACCAAAGACGAGTCTGGTCGCACTGGACTTGACCTACAGTTTGCCGTAAGATAGCTTTAAAACAGTATACACAAACAACCCAACATCAACCATGCAGACATTTTCCAAGTGAGTGGGACTCGAAATTCCCTTTAAGGGTACAGTGCTCTTCTTGCTGAACTTCCAGGGCAACTCTTAATTATTAAGGCAAACCCCAGTGTGGATGGTAGCAGAAGTTGTTAAACCATAAACCGGGCATTTATCTTTATTGATGAGATACTGGACCAAGTCAGTTCAAACGTAGGAGAGGCAAAGTCCTTTGCTGCACAGATCAACCTGGCCAAGAATAGATCTACTGACTTTCTACCAGGTTATTTCACAACACACATCTCGTGTTTTAGGACTTGTGTTTCCCAAACACACAGTGGACAATTGGAGAGTTGTTTTGAAAGGAGAAAATCTGGACTACATACATGCTAGCAGTGTCCATGTAAGAAATTGTTTCTCTATTTGTGATTGTATTGCAAGAGGTAGGGCCAGAGAAAATGTTTATTCCCCATACTGTGTCTGCAGGGCTACAAGAAGCACAGGGCGTTCATCATCACCCAGGGGCATGCGCTCCACTGCCAGAGACTTCTGGAAGATGGTCTACAGCAAGAAGTGTAGTGTGGTCGTCATGTTATCAGACCTCATTGAACTTGATGAGGTGACACCATCTATGATGTGATACTGATGCATCTAGCTTCTGTAATAGACTAGATTTGAGAATGTAAGCACTTGCTTGCCCAAGAGCATGGTACACTTCTGCTTGTAAAGTGAAGGATGAAAGATCAAACTGAGGATGACAATCTACTGAATCTACCCCAGTCAATGGTGTACTGTAAACTCTAGGTTTAGCTTGAGAGGCGTGTTGCATTAAGAGGCGAAATAATTGTTTTTGTGTTATTCTAGGAGGTGTGCTACCAGTACTGGCCTGGGAAGAGAGCACAGACGTATGGGAAGTTCAGGGTAGAGCTGCTCAGTGAGGGGTGGAAGAGTGGATTCTTATACAGAATTTCTCTGTTCAACAAGCTAAGGTAAACAAAGGAAGACGAAGGGAAGTTAGCTCTTTACACTGTACAACATACCATGCTGACTATTGATTTGAACTTGCAGTTTGCCACAGCCCATCAGGTGTGGCAGTTCCACATCCCAGAGTGGAGCTCAGACTACCGGTGGTGTGGGGATGTGAATGCCATGGTCTCTGTCATAGAGGAAGTCTCCAAGGTCCAGAGGAAGACCGGGAACCACCCCATTGTCGTCCATAGACTGTGAGCTTTAGCTAGCGGATCATATCTGTTTTATCAAGCAGTCTATTGGATAAAGAAAGCTGCAAAGCAAATGCAAGTCATGCTACTGACATGGACCCGTGATTGGCTGTAAAGAATTTAATTTACGTTAAAAATACTGTGCCATTGCATTGCTCAGTGAGCCAATGTCAAAAACAGGGCAATACCTCCATCATTACAAGCATGCAGCTGGTGCCCTTTACAAAATATTGTCAGACATGCATAGAGTTCATCTTTACTGTCATTAGTGTGTTGCGAAAGCAAAGTTGACCAAGACATGTCATGCATTGTATTACTACAGTGATACGGTGAGTAGATCAGCCATATTCTGTGGTGTGGCCACCACCATTGAGAGGTGTAAGACAGAGGGAGTGGTGGATGTGTTCCAGGTGGTCAAGGCCATGAGAGTTCAGAAACCTGGAGCCATTCAAACTGTGGTATATATGTGTAGCTATAACTTCATAGTTACTTTGCATTTGCTAAACATCTTTTTACTTCAACAGGAACAGTATCAGTCAATTTATGAAGCTCTTTTGGTGTTCATTGACTCATTTGAAACATACTCAAATTTACAACATAAGATTTTATTTTATCGTCATGTCAGATTTTATGGTGTTGCATTAGCTAGTCTGTAGCTACTACACGATGCGCAGATGAGTCATCGCTGACCGGCGATCGGCGCTTGTTTGGTGCGCAACGGGCCACCGTAGCAGAAAGGCATGTCAGGTAATACATAGTCTGGTGCCCAGACCTTCACAAAAACAAGCGTGGGCCGCCACCAGACATAGCTGGAGAGCTCGCGCTCAAAATCTGCTATAATAATCTGGCGTAGCCACACCCTCAGTATCATTAACCCTCGGCGCGCATGCGCAGCGAGGGTTACGGTAGTTAACCCTCGGCGCGCATGCGCAGCGAGGGTTACAGTACTTGGGTCTGTCTGTGTGTGTGTGTGTCTGTCTGTTACTCTCAATCTAACTTCTCGGGTGTTTGTTCGTCTCACAAAGGATACGACCTACTTAACGGGCAATGAAGGTCAGAATTTTCGAACGGTTTTCTCTGAAACTGCTCCGTTGCAAAGCTAGAGCGCGAAAAAGCCAATATGCAAATACACAACGGACGGGACGGCTTACCAGGGTCTGAACGATCCGCGTGCTCTGCGTACCTCGGAGGCACCAGAAGATGCAACGCAGGGCGTGTATCGCCTCTCGCATGCTATCTAGTAGTGTGGTTAGCCCGCGTCAGACTCTGCGCGAGCTGGGAAGAGACCACGACAGCTAAAACTAAACCCAGCCCATCAATATTAGTGGTACGGCGCATGCGTTTACTTACGCGTGCGCGTCACAGTGCGCCGAGGGTTTGCACTTCAGTGCTTTTCATTGGGTTTGTCTGTCTGTCTGACTGTCTGTGTGTGTGTCTGTCTGTTACTCGTCATCTCACTTCTCGAGTGTTCGTTCGTCTCACAAAGGATACCACCTACTGAACGGGCAATGAAGGTCAGAAAATATGTGGGGTTTTCTCTGAAACTGCTCCGTTGCAGAGCTAGAGCGCGAAAAAGCTAATATGCAAATAGGCAACGGACGGGACGGCTTACCACGGTCTGATCGATCCGCGTGCTCTGCGTACCTCAGAGGCACCAGAAGATGCAACGCAGGGCGTGTATCGCCTCTCGCATGCTATCTAGTAGTGTAGTTAGCCCGCGTCAGACTCTGCGCGAGCTGGGAAGAGACCACGAGTAACAGCTAAAACTAAACCCAGCCCATCAATTAGTGGTACGGCGCATGCGTTTACTTACGCGTGCGCGTCACAATGCGCCGAGGGTTTGCACTTCAGTGCTTTTCATTAAGAATTGTCCACGCCTGCGCGTATATACCGTATATAGAGAGGAGGAGAAAGCCACTGCGCATAGTGGCATCCTGGTGAATGGTTTTCTCTCCCATGGAGAGGGGGAATATGAATATGCTAATAGTGTGAAAAATCCGAGAACGGTACCAAATTCACTATAATTCACGAGCGTTATATAAGCAATGCTAAAGTATATCGACGCCCATGCAATAAGGGCGAATCATAAAAACGGCCGTTCAAAATTTATGACGAAGCCAATATACTTCGACCGGTCCGCTCGCTCTGTGTATCTTGAAGGCACAAGAAGTCACAACGAAGGGCGTGTATCGACTCCCGCATGCTATATACTACTGTCGCTAACCTGTTTCAGACTCTCCGCGAGCTACTAGCGCGGAGACAGCGCATACTAATAGCCCAGCCCATCAATTAGCGGTACCGCGCATGCGCAGTTCGCGGAGGGTTTGCAGTGCTTTTCATTCGAGGTGGTAGCTAGTTAGCTCGAACAACAACCTGTTAGCATTTACATTTTCAATGCAGATGTCAGAGGATTTAAAATTGTGTATCCTGATCTCTATCTGCGTTCACTGTCTGCTGGCTGATCAGACAGTTCCATATGTCAGCTTCAAAGGACAGACTCTGGCAAATCATAGCTATGTGAACCTCAGTCTAGTGGGAGATGATGCCAGTGACAGTGTTGTGTGTCACACTGATCTGAGTACATGCTGCAGTAATACAGAGGGTCCACACAGAGGAGACTGGTACTTTCCTGATGGAACCCGACTTTCATTCAGTACTTCAGCTGTTGGTGAGAGTCGAGGTAAAGAAAGGGTTGATCTTCGCCGTAGGAAACAGGGTACATCTGGTATATATCGCTGCGACATACCAACTGATGGAGTTCATGACAGCACTGATATCAGTGTACGAGATACAGTATATGTTGGACTCTATCTCAATAGAGGTGAGCAGTGGTAGCAACACCAACCCCCCTCCAAATTTGTAGTCTGACAGTGTTGTCATTCATTAGGTGATATCGCCGTAGCTGAGATCACAACAAATTTAAAGATCATGGATAGTTGTATTTTGCAACTCACCCTCACCTGTATCTCAACTGGTGGACCTGCTACCACTGTCACTTGGACCAGAGACTCCACCACTGTCACACAAGGAAATGAGAGTGTGTTGAATAACCCAGTGACTTCAACGTACACCCACACTCTGACTGTGACTGGGACTCTGGTGGGAGGAAACTACACATGTACTGTGTCCAATAACAAGCCATCCAGTAAATCATCGAGTATCACAGTTAGCTGTAAGTACAGTAGTAATAGGGATGATAATGGTACACATTGTTGGTTCATTTGGCTATTCCAGTTCCATCTAATCTGATGCTGGAGCAAAATAACGAGACAAGCATCAATGTATCATGGAGTCCACCTCTCCAGTCTGCAAACATTACTGGATACAGAGTGTTCTGGACTCAGTGTGCCTCCTCTGACTGTATCAACCAAACTGTGATCACTTCCTCGACAGTGAAACACTCACAGGCTTGATGGAAGGGCAGTGCTACAGTGTTTCTGTGGTTAGAGTCTCATGTCTCCCAAGCGATACTGCAACCCGCAATATAACTTTAGGTAATTATTTCCTTGTTGCTAGAAGTTTCTGTCTCACAAAATTATATTTTCTCTTGTTTAAAGTTACCAATCCAGGTAATATCAGCATTGATGTGGTATCTACTTATAGCCATGGTTTCTCATTGATGATAAACCTTAGTAACTATGTAGAAAATGGGATCTATCATATTATGACCAATGTGACTTGGTTGAGATTTTTGCACTGTAACAATGGTCTTGGAAGCTCTAATGTGACTGACCAGGCATATGATGTGAATCCAATGAATCTAATCATACTGGATTAGTTCCTAACAGTGAATACAATATGACAGTGGTGGTAGGTAATGCTCTGGGAAGCAGAACACAGAGTGTTTTTAATCAGACTCAGCCAGCAGGTACAGTCTTTAACCCATATGTAGCAAACCTTCACACGTCATGTTAAATAATATCCTGCAGCACCATCTGCCCCACCACAAGACATAGTGGCGGTAAACCAGACCCTCTTCACCATCACCATCAGTTGGCAGCCTGTTGACTGTGCCCATCAGAATGGGAATATAACAGGATATGAAATACGATATAGGAAAAAGACGGTGGAATTACCGAAGCAGTGTCGGACAGAGTCATAATGGGTGCAGATTATACCCTAACAGACTTGCAGCCATCAACTACATACTTGATTCAAGTGGCAGCAAACAACACAGCTGGAAGAGGAGTTTTTGGAAGCATATCAGCATCAACACTATGTGAGTTCAGTACTTTCAAGCACATATGATTAGTTACCAAGTTCTTTTGTGTGCAGTTGAAGTTCATGTGATATCAACAACATCAACTTCGATTAACATATCATGGGCCAAAGTTGACTATGAAGTCCTAATCACATGGATCAGCACTCTATCAAGCAATTGTACACAAAATATCGATCAAAGTTTAAAGAAGGATTCTCTGAATGGGAAATCCTCTTATGTGATAGATGGTCTGAAAGTATTCACCGAGTATAACATCACACTTTGCATAAATGGCTCTATCTGTACTTTCAAAACTGTAGTGACTAATGCAGCTGGTGTGTTCATTTCATAATCTTGTACGATTCTTAAAAATTGCGTATTTTTTCAGCACCATCTGCACTCTCCAAAAGGAATGTCATGGGAAGGAAGTTCATCGACAAACATCACCATAAAATGGGGTCCTGTGCCATGTGCTGATCGCAATGGAAATATCACTAGTTATGTGGTGATGTTCAGAGAAAATGGGAAGGAAATATTCTATAATGAAGCTACTACTGGAGGTGATATGGAGTTCACTATCACTGGATTACAACCATCGACAGAGTATGAGATTAAAGTTGCTGCTTTCACTGTTGCTGTTGGACCGTTCACTAATGAAAGCTTGTTTGCAAGCACCACAGGTAGTTATATGCATAAGAGCTATGCATTATACCCTGCACGTTTGCGTGATAATACAGACTCACCCAACATAATTTACCATTGTACTGAATATCTCCTCCTATACCACAGCAGACACTAGAGAAGGTGGCAGTAATGTTGGTGGAGTAGTGGCTAGTGTGATACTGTCTGTTCTGTTCCTTATTGGAGCTACTCTGGGCATCCTTGCTACTATCTGGCTAATGAGAAGGTGTAGATGTTCATTGGGAATTTTCTTCATACCTACTCTGTTGTGTGTGCTCTGCAGGAAAAAGTCAACTATGAAGGGTCTTTTCTCAATGGGTCACTTTAAAGTCATGCGCAAACAAAGCACCTTGCCACACTCTAGAGACACAGACATTTCTCTGGAGCAGCTTTCCAGTGAGTCATACTATATGGGTCTGCCCTAAGACTAGTTAGTATCTTGTTCTCAGCTGGAGGGAGTCTTGCAGGTGCAGAGCTATCCTCTGAGAAAGATGAAGTCAAAACACACTTTCAGTCTCACTCTGGCAGTCTCTCACAACAGCCAGCTGCAGTACAGGCTATACCCTACCTCTCCTATCTAGCTGATGAGGAGGTAGAGGAGGAGGTGGAGGAAGAGGCTCATCCAGTACCCAAGCCTTCAGGTAAGTTTCATGCGAGACCAGTACCTCTGCCAGTGGCTCTGTTTGGGAGCAATGTGGAGAAGAAACACACCAACAACAACCAGCCTTTCATGACTGAGTTTGAGGTAAGCCCAAATATTACATGAAACAAATTCACTTTGTTGTTGTGTGGATGTATATAGGCACTGGGTGATGGGGAAGGAAAGACTGTTACTGTAGCAAGGACACCACGGAACAAGAAAAAGAACCGTTTTGCCAACATTTCACCATGTAAGTATTTCAAGCCCACCAACAACAATAGATTGCTCTGCAATAATGGGCAGATGATGATAATCGTGTGATCCTGAGCCCACTGGGTGACCTCACTAATGAGTACATCAATGCAAGTCATGTGGACGTAAGTCAATGCTTGTAGTGAGCACGGCACATACCATACTGTGTGTACATACAACTCTCTATCTAATCCACCCTCAGGGTTTCTCCAAACCAAAGAAGTTTATCGCAGCTCAAGGTAAACATTGAAAAGTGTATATGTGGTGCATAACACATTGTCTTGTTAGTATAATATAGCAACATGATGTATCCCTATACCCAGGGCCAATCCCCAGTTGTATAGTTGACTTCTGGAGGATGGTGTGGCAGGAGAAAGTGCCGTCAGTGGTGATGATCACCAACCTGGTGGAGGGGAAGAAGACAAAGTGTGAGCAGTACTGGCCGTCCTCTGGGTCTCAGGATTTCGGGCCGTTCCACGTATCCATCACTCACCAACTCATTCTCGCTGACTACACCATCAGAACACTCAGTGTTGAGGTGGAGGACACATTTCTAAACCTATGACAGATGTAGCTACACATCTCTTTACTAGTCATGTAAAATTACTTACCGCTTGTTTATTTCATATACATGCATTGATAAACCATGCAAAACATGTTGCATGCTAAAGTCGACCAAAGAAGGGAGTATTCCCTTCATAGCCATTGAAATTTCCAATGGATGGATTAGGATTAATGCCAATGATCCTCCCCCTAGCTCTCAGGGAAGACGAGGAAGGTGACTCATTTCCACCCCACTACAAAACCTGGCCAACCACGGAGTAGTAACGTTCTTAAGTAACAAAGTCAAAAAAAAAACAAAACAATTAAATCCCCCCCGTCTCACCCCCCCCCCCCCGTCCCCCCCTCGTTTCTCCGTTCACCCGTTCTACCGTCCCAGTCCCCCGCCCAGTTCACCCGACCCCGTCCCACCCCTCCCCCACCCCCCACTCCCCCCCCCCTCTCGTCCCCCGTCCCACCCCGTCCCCCCCCACCCCCCCCCCCCCCCCATCACCCCCCGTCACCACCCCTCTTCCCTCCCCCCCCCCCCCCTCCAACCCCCCCCTCCCCCCCCCACCCCCCTTTCCCCCCCCCCCCCCCCCCCCCCCTCCCCCCCCACGCCTATGGCCCCCTCCCTGCTCACTTCGCCTAAGGTTGTCCCAGAGATCCCACGGCCCCGAAGTCGGTCCTCTTACTTGTTCCTCTTGTAGTGCGGTTTCCCTTGTGGCCTTTGCCGTGTTTTGTGTACATTTGTTTAACGAAGATAGCCTGAAGGTCTGCTTAGTAGGTATGTTTTTCCAAAGATAAACATTAATGTAGGACCTTCCTTGCTGTGTGGCCATAAATACTCAATCTGTTATCATTTCGTATCCCACTATCACCATATATCGGAGCGTCGGTAGACGCTCTATATAGGGATGAGACGAGTGAAATCTCACGTGATCCGCGTACAAAACGCCTCAAAACTCAGCGACAATGACTCACCATGGCTTCAAAATCACTAGCAATAGTCTAGAGGCCAATACCTAGCTATACATTTGCCCCAAGACTTCCTACGTGCCCTCAGTTCCCCACGAGAGAATACGCACTTACGCGATTTCGCGATTTTCGTGTCATCATCATATTCTTCATCTTCTTCTTCTTCTTCTTCAGACCCGCTAGCTCCTTACCGGAAGCAGTTGAAGCGTTGATTTTTTCACAGAACGTCTCCAAATTTGCCGGAGGTGTGCACGCATATCAAGCGATCGCTTGTTTCTTGCCGCAAGTCACTACGGTAGATCTTTGACCTATTCCACGGTAGTCACTGGAACAACGCCATTGCTGCTAACTCAGCATCAGTGAGCGCTGCGCCGAGGAGGCGTTTCCCCAATGCGTGCGCGCCATCTCGTGCGGACCAGGTCTACGAGACTAAGCCAGGATGCCTGCAGAGGAACTCCAGTGCCTTCTGTAAGTCAGTATACACATTTTAACTGGCTAGCTTACGTTTTGCTGTTGATTTGTACGAGGAGCAACTTGGCAGTGTGAGCCGTGTTACGCGGGCCTTGCCCAGCGCCTTCATTGTTTGTCTCCCGGCCAGGTTATAGCTATCATTGTAGTCTGATTACTGAAGCCTGCCTACGAAACCACCCCACCGTAATATGAGCCGCAACCTGATTGCATCGTTGTTGGAGACACTACGCATACACCCTGCTTCAGGTACATTAGCTTCTGCTTTCAACAGTTATCTCTACAACACCCATGAACATCAGAGTGCTGAAAATGCAGAAGGCATGAAAAATAGTGGAAACAAGTGGAAAAATCATTTCTTCAAATGAAGGGGGATATAGGGATGGCTTGAAGCACCAAAAGGAAGAACAAGGGGTCATTACACAGCAAAGATGCACCAAGCTACATGACACCATCCCTATATCTTTGTGTTATATATAGTTCACAAGTAAGTTTACTATGAGACAAAGATATAGGGATGGTGTCATGTAGCTTGGTGCATCTTTGCTGTGTAATGACCCCTTGTTTCTTCCTTTTTGGTGCTTCAAGCCATCCCTATATCCCCCTTCATTTTGAAGAAATGATTTTTCCACTTGTACACATAATAAGTGGCCATTGTCAGTGTATTGCTCTCCTCTGCAGTGCAGGTGTTGGTAGGACAGGGACATTCATAGCCATAGACCATGTCCTGGAGCAGAGGGAGACAGAGGGAGTGGTGGACATCCCTGGAGTCATCCTCAAACTCAGACAACAGAGAACTAAGATGGTCCAGACTCTGGTACACGCACACATTGCACTGTTTTCATTAGTACCTGCACCTCCCCAACTTTGTGCACACTTTTTGTAGGCTATTCTTTCACTTTTCGTATACAGTTATTCCCACTGTGAAATGCAGCAATGTTTGTCATCTTTACATCTCTCCCAGTGTGTTTATGCATTCTTTTTGTGGGTTATTTTTTCACCTTGATATGCAGTTATGCCGCATAATGTTTTTCAAGTTCACTGTATACTTTCATTCTGAGATAACTGGCCACACTTGACGTTGTTTCTTCCAGGACCAGTACATCTTCATCCATGATGCCATACTGGAGTCAGTCACATGTGGAGACACTGAGATCAAAGCTGGAGATTTGAGGAGGAAACTGGTCAAACTCAGAGAAAGGACGATTCCGGACTTTCTGGACTTGACCTTCAGTTTGCCGTAAGAGGGCTTTTGGTTCTTTAATCCCCACTCATACCTATAAGGAAAAACCACTCATACCTATAGTGTACACCATGTACAATAACACAGATACTGGACCAAGTGAGCGGAAATGTAGGAGATGCGCAGTCCGTTGCTGCCCGAAACAACCCCACCAAGAATAGAACTACTGATTTCCTGCCAGGTTCTCCCCCCACATCTTTTAATTTTTATATCCACCGTGTGCCTGTCTTCCTTTATATAACACAAGTGGACAAATGGAGAGTTGTTTTGAAAGGAGAAAATCCAGACTACATACATGCTACCAATATCCGCGTAAGCACCCAACACCCAAGTGTTTGTCTATGGAGCCACAAGGGTGTTTCCACCCTATGTAGGGCTACAAGCAGCAGAGAGCGTTCATCATCACACAGGGGCCAATGCGCTCCACTGCCAGAGACTTCTGGAAGATGGTCTACAGCAGGAAGTGTAGTGTGGTCGTCATGCTATCAGACCTCATTGAACAGAATGAGGTGACACTTTCAAAAACATTTTTACTTCTTCCATAAGTATTGGTATTGATGTCCCTGAATCCCGAATAATTGACACTTTATCTACTTATCAACTAACTATCCAACAAGGGCACACTCATGGCATGGCATTTACATCTCCACAAGCTTTAATGCTACCTGACGATATCTCTAGGCTGAAGCATCTTGTGCTTATTCCAGGAGGTATGCTACCAGTATTGGCCAGAGAAGAGGACTCAGAGCTACGGAGAGTTCAGTGTACAGCTACTGAATGAGGAGAGGAAGAGAGGATTCTTACTCAGGACCTTATCAGTTCAGGAAAACAAGGTAAATGTAGAAAGAGAGGTGGAGAATGAGTCAGATGGTGATTGGTAAATTGTATATAAGAGATGCTTTCTTTTCGTGGTCCTAGTCCGGTACAGCCCATCAGGTGTGGCAGTTCCACATCCCAGAGTGGAGCTCAGACTACCAGTGGTGTGGGGATGTGAATGCCATGGTCTCTGTCATAGAGGAAGTCTCCAAGTTCCAGAGGAAGACTGGGAACCACCCCATTGTCGTCCATGGACTGTGAGTTTTAGCTAGCAGATGCCCATGTATGCAGCACACTGAATGTGTCATAATCTTGTGTGGCATGGAAAAATCTAGTCACCTGCTCGCTGTGTAATGCTTGTGTGCATGCACGCATGCGAGGTTACTATGCCTTGCACAAACACATGCTAGTTATGCTTACACAAGAGATAAGGAGAGGGTCGAAACTCCAGAGTTTGCACCATTATGCTACGAGAAACTCCTCTTTTCCGTCTAAAGGATTGCAGGAGCGAAGAGGAGAGTCATAAAGGAAGGCACCGCTTTTCCCGCACCGGGATCGAAACGAAGAGTCGCACAAGGAACCAAGTGCGCGTAGAAGGACGCCCTGTCACATCCGACCCCATACGATCAGGACGAAAGTGAAGGCAATCGCAAAACACTGAATGTGTCATAATCTTGTGTGGCATGGAAAAATCTAGTCACCTGCTCGCTGTGTAATGCTTGTGTGCATGCACGCATGCGAGGTTACTATGCCTTGCACAAACACATGCTAGGTATGCCTTACACAAGAGTAATAAAGAGAGGGTTGGAACCTCCTAAATTTGCACCATTATTCTACTAGAAGCATCCTCTTTTCCGTCTGCAGTAACACGGTGAGTAGATCGGCCATATTCTGTGGTGTGGCCACCACCATTGAGAGGTGTAAGACAGAGGGAGTGGTGGATGTGTTCCAGGTGGTCAAGGCCATGAGAGTTCAGAAACCTGGAGCTATACAAACTTTGGTATGATTGATTGTTTTTCTACATTTTAATTTACTTCAACTTACAGGAGCAGTATCAGTCGATTTTTGAAGCTCTTTTGGTATTCATTGACTCGTTTGAAACATACTCAAATTTTGTTTCTTAGTCTCTTTGCATGCGTGTATATAATCATCTGTAGTGTCAATAAGTTGTATGTAGCACTTGCTAGCACAGAAGCGCATGCGCGCGAGTGGAGAGTTATTATAGGGGCGTGACAGCAGTTGAATGATTCTGGGCTCAAAATGGAGTGGGGTCTCAGCGCATAGCAGAGGAGGGGAGATGGGACGTCCTACGCTTGTAAGACGTCCACCCAGTGGCAGAACAAAGAGCAGTGTATGGTAAGCACACACATTTTCAGCCTCGCGAAAGACAACACGCTAATACATGTGGACAGGTACGTACTCACCTCTACAGGCAAGGACTATGCTCACCAGGCTGTGGTAGCCATATCCTCGTGTATTTTGCATTGCAAGTGTGTACGGCAGCTCTTGCCACATCTTGCTAGATGACAACATTTCAGTGTGTAAGTTGACACACTTCGAACTTTAATAGAATTGGTGGTGTATTTTGTGTTGTGTGTGATGAGCAGATGGTGTGATCCTGAGCCCACTAGGTGACCTCATTAATGATTACATCAATGCAAGTCATGTGGATGTAAGTCCCTACATGTGCTGCAAAGCACACGATAATTATTATTTGTCATTTCCCCCTCTCTTAGGGGTACACCAGACCAAAGAAATTTATAGCAGCCCAAGGTATAAATACATTTTGTTAGTGTTTTAAGTTTCAGCTACTGCTCTTGTGTAGCTACTTAATCAATTTTCAGTTGGATTTGTGTGTGTATAGATGTAGCGGATCATGAAACTCCTAAGCTTATCATGACTAAATTCTACCCACCCAGGGCCAGTCCCCAGTAGTATAGTAGACTTCTGGAGGATGGTGTGGCAGGAGAAGTGCCGTCAGTGGTGATGATCACCAACCTGGTGGAGGGGAAGAAGACAAAGTGTGAGCAGTACTGGCCGTCCTCTGGGTCTCAGGATTTCGGGCCGTTCCACGTATCCATCACTCACCAACTCACCCTCGCTGACTACACCATCAGAACACTCAGTGTTGAGGTATTAGGGACAGAGTACTGGGTCCACATTTTGCACAAGCAGTAGATCAGTTAGTTACTGGCAAAGTCTAGTATATAGCAGTAAATTTGATACCCCATAGCAGAAGATTATTATGTATGTAGTAGCAAGAGAAACAAAGAGGCCTGAACCAACTTGGAAGTATAGGCACACATACACACTCCCTGTATCCTTCTCCTGCCAATAATATGTACTCTTTTGTTCTTGTGTAACCACCTAATTTTGTTCCATTTGGTGTTTCTATACCATCCCTATACCCCACTTGAAGTATAAGTTGTATCTCTGCTGGTTGCAGCTCTCAGGGAAGACAAGGAAGGTGACTCATTTCCACTACACAGCCTGGCCAAACCACGGAGTGCCCGACTATGCCACCTCCATACTCACTTCCATAAGATGGTTATGAAAGACCACAAGGCCCACAGATGTCCTCTACTAGTGCACTGTAGGTGAGGTGTACTGGTACTGGAATCCAGCTTTTAGGAGATGATGACTTTACTCTCTTTTTCAGTTCAGTGTGACATTGCTGTGTTGCACATAGTGTTGCTGGTGTATTACTTTGGCATAAACACATTGTTTTTCCATGCATTTGCAGTTACATACAACTGGCATGGGACCTCAGTTTTCCTTTCCTATAACATTGCAATATTCCCAAGTGTTTAGCCATAAATGCTGAGTCATACTTGGGAGAGACCCCCAGTAGACCAAGTCTAAACCCTGTGCAAATGACCCCCTGGTATATGTTCTCTCCTCTGCAGTGCTGGTGTTGGTAGGACAGGGACATTCATAGCCATAGACCATGTCTTGGAGCAGAGGGAGACAGAGGGAGTGGTCGACATCCCTGGAGTCGTCCTCAAACTACGGCAACAGAGAACTAAGATGGTCCAGACTCTGGTACATTACATTCCACTGTTTTTGCAACCTACCCTTAGTCTTCTGTACAAACATTCGATAGAAAGTGCTCCCCCCTCAATCTCTATGCATGTCTGATGTGTTTTGGTAATTTTGTTGTGCATACGTTCAGCTTTCAAATTCATTGTATACTTTTCAAAGTCACATTATGTGTAATGTGTTTTCTATTGCTTCACTGTGTCTTTTTTTCAGGACCAGTACATCTTCATCCATGATGCAATACTGGAGTCAGTCACATGTGGAGATACTGAGATTGAGGCTGGGGACCTGAGGAAGAGACTGGCTCAACTCAAGACCAAAGACGAGTCTGGTCGCTCTGGACTTGACCTACAGTTTGCCGTAAGATCGCTCTTAACAGTACACGCAAACAAGCCAACATCAACCATGCAGACATTTTCCAAGTGCGTGGGACTCGAAATTCCCTTTAAGGGTACAGTGCTCTTCTAGCTGAACTTTCAGGGCAACTCTAAATTATTAAGGCAAACCCCAGTGTGGATGGTAGCAGAAGTTGTTAAACCATAAACCGGGCATTTATCTTTATTGATGAGATAGTGGACCAGGTCAGTTCAAATGTGGGAGAGGCAAAGTCCTTTGCTGCACAAAACAACCTGGCCAAGAATAGATCTACTGACTTTCTACCAGGTTATTGACCAACACACATTTAGTGTGTTAGGACTTGCGATTTTCCCAAACACAGTGGACAAATGGAGTTATTTTGAAGGGAGAAAATCTGGACTACATATATACATGTTAGCAGTGTCCATGTAAGAAACTGTTTCTCTATCTGTGTTTGTATTGCAAGAGGGAGGGCCAGCCATGCTGTGTCTGCAGGGCTACAAGAAGCACAGGGTGTTCATCATCACACAGGGGCCGATGCGCTCCACTGCTAGAGCTTCTGGAAGATGGTCTATAGCAGGAAGTGTAGTGTGGTCGTCATGCTCTCTAACCTCATTGAACTTCATGAGGTGACACCACCTGTGGTGCATCTAGCCTCTGCAAGAGACTAGATTTGAGAATGTAAGCACTTGCTTGCCCAAGAGCATGGTACACTTCTGCTTGTAAAGTGAAAGATGAAAGATCAAACTGAGGATGACAATCCACTGAATCTACCCGACTCAATGGTGTACTGTAAACTCTAGGTTTAGCTTGAGAGTTGTGTTTCATTCAGAGGCGAAATAATTGCTTTGTGGTATTCCAGGAGGTGTGCTATCAGTACTGGCCTGGGAAGAGAGCACAGGCATATGGGGAGTTCAGAGTAGAGCTGCTCAGTGAGGGGTGGAAGAGTGGATCCTTATACAGGAATTTCTCTGATCAACAAGCTAAGGTAAGCAAAGGAAGATGAAGGGAAGTTAGCTCTTTACACTGTACAACATACCATGCAGTTATTGATTTGAACTTGCAGTTTGCCACAGCCCATCAGGTGTGGCAGTTCCACATCCCAGAGTGGAGCTCAGACTACCAGTGGTGTGGGGATGTGAATGCCATGGTCTCTGTCATAGAGGAAGTCTCCAAGGTCCAGAGGAAGTCTGGGAACCACCCCATTGTCGTCCATGGACTGTGAGTTTCGACAAGAAGTCTATAGATAAAGGCGGTGTAGTGTATTGCATAATTAGCTAGTAGTGAATGTATTAGTTCTAGTGCGCATGTGTTGTTGTATTAGGCCTAGTGCGCATGTGCACCATTTGGTTATATATGTATGCCGTGTTGCACACGTGTGATCAGTTGTGATTGAGTTTACAATATTGTGAGTTACCAGTATACCGCGGATATAAAGTGACTGAAGGTCATGAATTTGTGTGTAGCTATTACACAGTAACACAGTGAGTAGATCGGCCATATTCTGTGGTGTGGCCACCACCATTGAGAGGTGTAAGACAGAGGGAGTGGTGGATGTTTTCCAGGTGGTCAAGGCCATGAGAGTTCAGAAACCTGGAGCCATTCAAACTGTGTATGTGTATAGCTTTCAAAGTTCTTTTTACTAAACAGTGTTTTTTTACTTCAATAGGAACAGTATCAGTCAATGTATGAAGCTCTTTTTGTGTTCATTGACTCATTTGAAACATACTCAAATTTTACAACATAAGCTTACTTTTATTTTATCGTCAGTAATCAGTGATGCGGTAGCTAACGATCACTATTACACAATGCGCAGTGGTGTGTCAGCGCGTGCGCATGCGTGTACGTGTGCAGGTCATCACGCGCTAGCTAGGTTCGGTGCGCAACGGTCACTGCAGCAGTCAGACATGATAGTCTGGTGCTCAGACCTTTACAAAAACAAGCGTGGGCATCAGACTAGGTAGCTGAGAGCTCGCGCTAAGGTCAGCCAAATCCAAGGCTATTTTCGGCGTGTAGAGCTAGACTCTTATTCGAGGATTAGCTAGCTAAACCAGATTTAGTTAGCATTTACTTCATTCCTACTTTTCGTGATTTTTTAAAATGCAGATGTCAAAGGATTTAATTAGAAAGTAGCAACGGAATGGTAACGTGTAGCCCGACGTTGCCTTGCCCGCTCCCGCTCCCGATCTCGTAATCGTCGCTGAAAAGACGAGCTTCTCTGTCGTGAGGACTTTCGACGGCCGGGCGTTCTGCCTGTCTACCTCTTTGAAATTGTTGCTGGACGTGAACTGAAACCCCCGGCCCAAAAGCGCGTAATATGGGCGCATGCGCATAACTACGACGGGCGGTGCGCCGTAGGAAAATTCCACCCGAAGAAACCAATAAAAGTTATATCGAACATAGGCCAGATTTAGTTAGTTATCACTAGTTCATTGCTATAGCTATATAGTCTCCGAGAATTGTGCAGATGGCGAAGGATTTAGAAGTATGTATCCTGATATGTGTCTGTGTTCACTGTCTGCTGGCTCAGACATTTCCATATGTCAGCTTCAAAGGACAAACTCTGGCAAACCATAGCTATGTGAACCTCAGTCTTGTGGGGAATGATGCTAGTGACACTGTTCAGTGTCACACTGATCTGAGTACATGCTGCAGTAAGCCACAGGGTTCACACAGAGGAGACTGGTACTTTCCTAATGGAACACGACTTCCATTCGATAGTGATGGTGGTATAATAGAGAGGCGTCATGCTAATAAAGTTAACATATCATATTATAAAACCAAAGAAGTTGCATCTGGTATATATCGCTGCGACATACCAACAAATGCAGTTCATGATGACGTGGACTACAGTGTACGGGATGCAGTGTATGTTGGACTCTATCTCAATGGAGGTGAGAACTGCTATAGCAATACCAACAACGTTTTATTGTCATTTACTAGGTGATATCGCTGTAGCTCAGATCACAACAAAATTAGGGATGGATAGTTGTATTTCCCAACTCAACCTCACCTGTATCTCCACTGGTGGGACCTGCTACCACTGTCACATGGACCAGAGACTCCACCACTGTTACCCAAGGAGCTGAGAGTGTGTTGAATGACCCAGTGACTGCACAGTACACCCACACTCTGACTGTGACTGAGAGACTGGGAGGAAACTACACATGTACTGTCTCCAATAGCAAGCCATCCAGTAACTCATCGAGTATCACAGTTAGCGGTAAGTACGGTGGTAATACGGATGATAACAATACACATTGTTGGTTCATTTGGCTATTTCAGCTCAATCACCCCCATTTAATCTGACCCTGGAGCAAAATAATGAGACAAGCATCAATGCATCATGGAGTCCACCTCTTCAGTCGGCAAACATTACTGGATACAGAGTGTTCTGGACTCAGTGTGCCTCCTCTGACTGTATCAACCAAACAGTGATTAATTCCTCAACAGTTGAAACACTAACAGGCTTGATGGCAGGGCAGTGCTACAGTGTTTCTGTGGTTAGTGTGTCAGATCTCCCAAGCGATACTGCAACCCGCAATATAACTTTTGGTAATTTTTCCTTGTTGCTAAAGTTTCTGTCCCAAAAAATTATATCTTCCCTTGTTTAAAGTTACCAATCCAGGTAATATCAGCATTGATGTGGTATCTACTAGCCATGGTTTCTCGTTGATGATAAACCTTAGTAACTATGTAGAAAACGGGATCTATCGTATTATGACCTATGTCACTTGGTTGAGATTTTTGCACTGTAACAATGGCCTCGGAGGCTCTAACATGACTGACCAGGCATATGATTTGAATCCAATGAATCTAAGCATCACTGGACTAGTTCCTAACAGTGAATACAATATGACAGTGGTGGTAGGTAATGCTCTGGGAAGCAAAACACAGAGTTTTTCTAATCAGACTCAGCCAGCAGGTACAGTCATTAACCCCTATGAAGCAAACGTTTACACATGTTATATTATCCTGCAGCACCATCTGCCCCACCACAAGACATAGTGGCAGTAAACCAGACACTCTTCACCATCACCATCAGTTGGCAGCCTGTTGACTGTGCCCATCAGAATGGGAATATAACAGGATATGAAATACGATATAGGAAAAAAGACGGTGGAAATACCAAAGCAGTGTCGGACAGGTCTAATGGGTGCAGATTATACCCTAACAGACTTGCAGCCATCAACTGCATACTTGATTCAAGTGGCCGCAAACAACACAGCTGGCAGAGGAGTTTTTGGAAACATATCAGCATCAACATCGCTATGTGAGTTCAGTACTTCAAGGCACATAATTATGATTAGTTACCAAGTTCTTGTGTGCAGTTGAAGTTCATGTGATATCAACAACATCAACTTCGATTAACATATCATGGCCTGAAGTTGACTATGAAGTCCTAATCACATGGATCAGCACTCTATCAAGCCATTGTACACAAAATATCGATCAAAGTTTAAAGAACGATTCTCTGAATGGGCAAATCCTCTTATGTGATAGATGGTCTGAAAGTATTCACCGAGTATAACATCACACTTTGCATAAATGGCTCTATCAGTACTTTCAAGACTGTAGTGACTAATGCAACTGGTGTGTTCATTTCATAATCTTGTACGATTCTTAAAAATTGGCCCATTTTTTCAGCACCATCTGCATCTCCAAAAGAAATGTCATGGGAAGGAAGTTCATCGACAACCATCGCTATAAAATGGGGTCCTGTGCCATGTGCTGATCGCAATGGAAATATCACTAGTTATGTGGTGATGTTCAGAGAAAATGGGAAGGAAATGTTCCATAATGAAACTACTACTGGAGTTGATATGGAGTTCACTATCACTGGGTTAGCACCATCGACTGAGTATGAGATTAAAGTTGCTGCTTTCACTGTGGCTGTTGGACCGTTCACTAATGAAAGCTTGTTTGCAAGCACCACAGGTAGCTATATGCTATGCATTATATCAGTACCCTGCACGTTTGCGTGATATACAGACTCACCCAACATTGTAGTGACAACCACTGAATATCTCCTCCTACCACAGCAGACACTAGAGAAGGTGGCAGTGATGTTGGTGGAGTAGTGGCTGGTGTGATAGTGTCTGTTCTGTTTCTTATTGGAGCTACTCTGGGCATCATTGCTACTATCTGGCTAATGAGAAGGTGTGTTAGATGTGCACTGGGAATGTTTTTTCATGACTACTCTGTTGTGTGTGCTCTGCAGGAAAAAGTCAACTATGAAGGGTCTTTTCTCAATGGGTCACTTTAAAGTCACCCGCAAACAAAGCACCTTGCCACACTCTAGAGACACACGAGACATTTCTCTGGAGCAGCTTTCCAGTGAGTCAATACTATATTGGTACGGCCTAAGACTAGTTAGTATCTTGTTCTCAGCTGGAGGGAGTCTGGCAGGTGGAGAGCTATCCTCTGAGAAAGATGAAGTCAAAACACACTTTCAGTCTCACTCTGACAGTCCCTCACAACAGCCAGCTACAGTTCAACCTATACCCTACCTCTCCTATCTAGCTGATGAGGAGGTAGGAGGAGGAGGAGGAGGAAGAGGCTGATCCTGTCCCCAAGCCTTCAGGTAAGTTTCATGCGAGACCAGTACCTCTGCCAGTGGCTCTGTTTGGGAGCCATGTGGAGAAGAAACACACCAACAACAACCAGCCTTTCATGACTGAGTTTGAGGTAAGTCAAAATGTTACATCAAACAATTTCACTTTGTTGTTGTGTGGATGTAGGCACTGGGTGATGGGGAAGGAAAGACTGTTACTGTAGCAAGGACACCACGGAACAAGAAAAAGAACCGTTTTGCGAATATTTCACCATGTAAGCATTTCACACTCCACCAGAACTAAAATACCTAGATTTCAATGGGCAGATGATGATAATCGTGTGATCCTGAGCCCACTGGGTGACCTCACTAATGAGTACATCAATGCAAGTCATGTGGACGTAAGTCAATGCTTGTAGTGGGCAAGGCACAAACCATACTGTGTGTACATACAACTCTCTTATCTAATCCCACGCTCAGGGCTACTCCAAACCAAGGAAGTTTATCGCAGCGCAAGGTAAAAACATTGAAAGTGTATAATTATGTGGTGAAAATACTTACTAGCAACATTATACTCAGGGCCAGTCCCCAGTAGTATAGTAGACTTCTGGAGGATGGTGTGGCAGGAGAAAGTGCCGTCAGTGGTGATGATCACCAACCTGGTGGAGGGGAAGAAGACAAAGTGTGAGCAGTACTGGCCGTCCTCTGGGTCTCAGGATTTCGGGCCGTTCCACGTATCCATCACTCACCAACTCATTCTCGCTGACTACACCATCAGAACCCTCAGTGTTGAGGTAGAAAAAAACGTTTCTTTGAAGATGTAGCTAGCTACACATCACTAGTCCTGTAAAATTGGTTTATTAACTGAGAAGCTTACTGGCTGTGTAGTTCATAAAGCATTGATTAAAGAACCGTGGAAAAACATGTTGCACACAAAAGTTGACCTATGAAGGGAGCATTCCCTTCATATGGAGGTCACATTGAAATTTCTATGAATGGATTAGGATTAATGCCGATGATCCTCCCTCTAGCTCTCAGGGAAGACGAGGAAGGTGACTCATTTCCACTACACAGCCTGGCCAGACCACGGAGTACCTGACTATGCCACCTCCATGCTCAACTTCCATAAGGTTGTCCTCAGAGATCACAAGGCCCAGAGAGGTCCTCTACTTGTGCACTGTAGGTAAGGTTTACCTTGTGGCCCTTGCAGGGTTTTTGTGTACATTAGTTGAACGAAGATAGCTTGAAGGTTTACTTAGTAGGTATGTTTTTCCCAAGTTTAAACGTTGATGTAGAACCTTCCTTGCCATGTAGGCGTATCTGTTTTCATTTCACTATCACCACACACACATAAGTGTGGCCATTGTCAGTGTATTGCTCTCCTCTGCAGTGCTGGTGTTGGTAGGACAGGGACATTCATCACCATAGACCATGTCCTGGAGCAGAGGGAGACAGAGGGAGTGGTGGACATCCCTGGAGTCATCCTCAAACTCAGGCAACAGAGAACCAACATGGTCCAGACTCTGGTACACACACATTGCACTGTTTTCATTAGTACCTGCACCTCCCCAACTTTGTTTGTGCACACTTTTTTGTAGGCTATTCTTTCACTGTACAGTTATTCCCACTGTGAAGCTTTTGGTATGCAGCAATGTTTGTCATCTTTACATCTCTCCCAGTGTGTTTATGCATTCTTTTTGTGGGTTATTGTTTCACCTTGACATGCAGTTATGCCCGCATAATGTTTTTCAAGTTCACTGTATACTTTCATTCTGATAACTGGCCACACTTGATGTTGTTTCTTCCAGGACCAGTACATCTTCATCCATGATGCTATACTGGAGTCAGTCACATGTGGAGACACTGAGATCAAAGCTGCGGATTTGAGGAGGAAACTGGTCAAACTCAAGAGAAAGGATGATTCTGGACTTTCTGGACTTGACCTTCAGTTTGCCGTAAGAGGGCTTTTGCTCTTTAACAACCCACTCATACCTATAAGGAAAAACAACCCACTCATACCTATAATGTACACCATGTACAATAACACAGATACTGGACCAAGTGAGCGGAAATGTAGGAGATGCACAGTCCGTTGCTGCCCGAAACAACCCCACCAAGAATAGAACTACTGATTTCCTGCCAGGTTCTCCCCCCACATCTTCTTTAATTTTTATATCCATCGTGTGCCTGTCTTCCTTTATATAACACAAGTGGACAAATGGAGAGTTGTTTTGAAAGGAGAAAATCCAGACTACATACATGCCACCAATATCCGCGTAAGCACCCAACACCCAAGTGTCTGTCTATGGAGCCACAAGGGTGTTTCCTCCCTATGTAGGGCTACAAGCAGCAGAGAGCGTTCATCATCACCCAGGGACCGATGCGCTCCACTGCCAGAGACTTCTGGAAGATGGTCTACAGCAGGAAGTGTAGTGTGGTCGTAATGCTATCAGACCTCATTGAACAGAATGAGGTGACACTTTTTGTTAGTACATACAAACCACAAGCGCTCACTCCATCCCTAGAGGATCAGCATTGATTTACCGAAGGCTAATATACTGCTTTAATGCTATCTGTATATCTGTGTATTTTCCTGCCAAAAAATGGCGATGAGCTGAGACTCATCATTATGTGTTTATTCCAGGAGGTATGCTACCAGTATTGGCCAGAGAAGAGGACTCAGAGCTACGGAGAGTTCAGTGTAGAGCTACTGAATGAGGAGAGGAAGAGAGGATTCTTACTCAGGACCTTCTCAGTTCAGGAAGCCAAGGTAGATGTAGAAAGAGAGGTGGAGAATGAGTCAGATGGCGATTGGTAAATGGTATATAAGAGATGCTTTCTTTCGTGGTCCTAGTCCGGTACAGCCCATCAGGTGTGGCAGTTCCACATCCCAGAGTGGAGCTCAGACTACCAGTGGCGTGGGGATGTGAATGCCATGGTCTCTGTCATAGAGGAAGTCTCAAAGGTCCAGAGGAAGACTGGGAACCACCCCATTGTCGTCCATGGACTGTGAGTTTTAGATGTCCACGTATGCAGCAGACTGAATGTGTCACAATCTGGTGTGGCCGTTAATAATCTAGTTGCCTTCTCGCTGTCATATTATGCTTGTGTGCACAACACAATCATGCGAAATATGCCTTGCACAAATGTAATAAAGAGTGGGTTCGAACCTCCTACATTAGCACCATTATTCGCATCCTCTTTTCAATTATCTGCAGTGACACAGTGAGTAGATCGGCCATATTCTGTGGTGTGGCCACCACCATTGAGAGGTGTAAGACAGAGGGAGTGGTGGATGTGTTCCAGGTGGTCAAGGCCATGAGAGTTCAGAAACCTGGAGCCATTCAAACTTTGGTATGATTACTAGCATTTATAAATGTTGATGCACGCACATTTTTCCACTTGCAGGAACAGTATAAGTCGATATTTGAAGCTCTTTTGGCATATATTGACTCATTTGAAACATACTCAAATTTTGCTTCTTAGGCGTGTTGTAGCTATAAGCTCATGCAACACAATTGTTGCCATGGTGTATTAGTTTTAGTTCACTTCACGATGTTATTTACTCCAGAGATCCTGGAGTTTTACTTGCATGTCAACTGCCGAGGCACATGCGCGTGAAAGGCCAGGCTTTGGTGGACGTGGGTGAAGGGGGCTAGACTAATACTGAGATGGAGTCTCGCCGGGTAGCGGAGGAGAGAGAATGGGATCAGTTACGCTTGCGAGATGTTCGCTCTGACAGGGCGACCTACGGTAAGCCGATTTCCTGCAATTTGTTTATCAGAGGGATTACTTTCTCATTCATACACAACAAAGTCGAACCACATAGCTACATACGTAGCTGCTGGCCATAATAACGTGTATGATAGCTTGTATCTATACATGATTGTGATCCACCCCATACATCGGATTGTGCTAAGGCAGTTGAGACATATATTTGCTCTGAATGCACCCACATGCACACACATTCCTCCTCACCTCTCCATGCAGCTAGGGACTATGCTCACCAAGTGATAGTCGCCATATCCCCGTATCTCTCAGGACCTTCTCAGTTCAGGAAGCCAAGGTAGATGTAGAAAGAGAGGTGGAGAATGAGTCAGATGGTGATTGGTAAATGGTATATAAGAGATGCTTTCTTTTCGTGGTTCTAGTCCGGTACAGCCCATCAGGTGTGGCAGTTCCACATCCCAGAGTGGAGCTCAGACTACCAGTGGCGTGGGGGATGTGAATGCCATGGTCTCTGTCATAGAGGAAGTCTCCAAAGTCCAGAGGAAGACTGGGAACCACCCCATTGTCGTCCATGGACTGTGAGTTTTAGATGGCCACGTATGCAGCAGACTGAATGTGTCACAATCTGGCGTGGCCATTTGCACCATTATTCGCATCCTCTTTTCAATGATCTGCAGTAACACAGTGAGTAGATCGGCAATATTCTGTGGTGTGGCCACCACCATTGAGAGGAGGGAGTGGTGGATGTGTTCCAGGTGGTCAAGGCCATCAGAGCTCAGAAACCTGGAGCCATACAAACTTTGGTAGGAGTACTAGCATTTATAATTGTTGATCAGACACACATTTTTCCACTTGCAGGAACAGTATAAGTCGATCTTTGAAGCTCTTTTAGCGTATATGAAACATACTCAAATCTTGCTTCTTAGACGTGTTATAGCTATAAGCTCATGCAACACAATTGTTGTCTTAGTTTTTAGTTCACTTCATGATGTTGATTTACTCCTGAGATCCTGTAGTCAACTGCCGATGCGCATGCGCGTGAAAGGGGGCGTGGATGAAGGGGGCTGGACTAATACCGAGTCCAAGATGGAGTCTCGCCGGGTAGCGGAGGAGAGAGAATGGGATCAGTTACGTTTGCGAGATGTTCGCTCTGACAGGGCGACCTACGGTAAGCCGATTTCCTGCAATTTGTTTATCAGAGGGATTACTTTCTCATTCATACACAACAAAGTCGAACCACATAGCTACATACGTAGTTGCTGGCCATAATAATGTGTATGATAGCTTGTATACATGATTGTGATCCACCCCATACGTCGGATTGTGCTATATATAGCAGTAGAGACATATATTTGCTCTGAATGCACCCACATGTACACACATACCTCCTCGCCCCTCCATGCAGCCAGGGACTATGCTCACCAAGTGATCGTCGCCATATCCCCGTATCTCTTGCTATGCAAGTGTGTGGAACAGCTGTTGCCACATCTCGTGAGGCGAGGTGTAGTGGCCAGTAAAGTCAGGTCGATCATCCTCAGCCAGTCCGACACTGAAGCCGCCAGCAGCTTGGAGAGGTTGCTGTATGGGAGGTCGCGTGAGCAGGGAGTTGAGGTCAGTATGGTGGAGGGGGTCTACTTGGCTCTGCTGGACTGCTATGAGGAGTCTGGGAGTGTGTGGTGTCACGGCATGGCTGTCAGTGGAATTCAACCCGTAGGTATGTACCATGTGGCTTTTGTAGTACTATGGACCAACTTCATTGACTTTTGGTTCGCAGTGAGATTCCAGTTAAAGTTGCCAGACATCAATTTCGATGGTACGACCACACTCTATATAAATACTGTTATCTGGTGTACTGAAGCAGGGTCTGTGCAGCTTTGCTTTTGATTGCAGTGACGCAGTATACTGAACCGTTGTGTCCGTAATGTTTTTCAAGGCAGTTGTCTTGTTTTGTAGACTTGGCAGTTTTACACCAGAGGGTATCGTCAACAAACCTACCTGAAGGAGACGCAGCCATGCTGACAGAGAAGCTTGGGCTGAGCAACTATGGCACTCTCACAGATCTCAAGAAGATCATCCAGATTGCTTTCAGCACCAGAGTTTCATTTCACAAGCTGGTGTCAGCTCTTCTGCTCACTCGACACACTGGCCGATACCTCAGCCTGCTCTTACCCTACTGTACGTTAATACACACTTGTGGCATGTTCGACATTCTGCATATTCAACAAAGGGGCTGCCACTCAGTGTCTTACCAGTGTTGGCTACAGATGGGACATTGTTAATACCATCCTGGCTTGTGTGTATAATATTATAGATATTGCATACAGAAGGTGGCACACTGGTATAAAAAATTTCATGTACCGGTTTTCTCCCTGTTCTATTTGTGTGCATTAAAATTCCCCAGGCCGCTGCAACCCACCGTGTGTGTATGAAGTGATACAGGCACTGGGTCAGAACTGGGTGACCCTGGCAGTCTACCTGGGCTACTCTGAGGTGGAGTTTCGTGCCATAGCCAGAGCTGGAGGGGAAGACCCCCATCGTCAGATACAAATGTTCATGAGGGTGTGGTGGATGCCAGACTGTGGGACTGAGGAGACAGTGGGCCTTCTCAATCAATGTGGGTTACAGTGATTGTATATACTCTTTAACTTGTAAGGTTTTTGTTCTCTTTACAGTTGTTCATGGGTTACTAAGAATTACTAGTCAACCAATTCTTGTGAAAGTCAGCCACTGGGTATGTTCAGCTACTATTGATACCATCATACTAGTTGTGTGTCAAATATACTTAGGACAAGGGGCTTGCTCTGCTCAAAGCTTGCCTGGACAATGACTGGGGGAAAGCTGAAGCTCTTATAAAGGCAGGAACTCTTTTGGATGCCCGCAGTGAGGTACGCAAGAGTATGTAATGGAATATGCTGTACAATGTGGCGTTTTGTATAAGATACATATCATTTTTCTGATAACAATGAGCAGTGTATCACTTGAGCTATGTTTGTTAGGATGGAAGGACTCCATTGATGCTTGCGTGCTTAAAAATGAAAGAGAAAATAGTGCAATTACTCATTGACCATGGAGCAGATGTCCAAGTTAAAGACAAGGTAAATGAATTGAAACACAGCCTACAAAAAGAAAGCCTCTCCTTTTTTAGAGAGGAGAAGCTTGTTTGAACTACATCGAGACACTGAGAAACCAATATATTCTCGAGTGTATCTTGAAAGAGTACAGAAAACTTGGAGCATCAGTTGATGTGGAATCCAAGGTAAACCACTGAGGTTACAGATAGCAGTGTATCTGCATTTCAGGGGGTGTTCCCGTATAGAGATAGCATGTTATTCTAACCTTTGTCCTCTATACTACAACTGCTAGGACACAGGGTGTTCCCCTCTCTCTACTGCCTGTAAGTGTGGAGCCTGTCGCCTCTGCTGAGCTGCTCCTGAAGTATGGTGCCAACCCAAATGGATGTGAAAATGTTAGCCAGTTGAAGTGTGACTATCAGCACGTGGTAACACGTGCGCTGTATCATGTGTATGGTTTGGCTCAGGGAAGGCATCGTCCTCTGGTGGAAGCCAGTGCTCAGGGACACATGGGACTAGTTAATGCATTGCTAAAATGTAAAGCAGATGTGGATGCAACTGCCCAGGTATTAATTTTTTATGGATGTTTAGAGGATGTATGTAAATTGTTATGTATTATAGGATGGCTACACTGCACTTCTTCAAGCCTGTAAAAAGAACCACTGGTACTTGGCACAAGTACTCATTAAGGAAGGAGCTGATGTGAACAAGTGCACATCTGTGAGTACATGAATGTCACGATAACCCACTTTTGCTTTAATATCATGTGTATACAGGAAGGCATAAGCCCCCTTTTTGTAGCCGTAGAAGCAAATGAATATGGCACTGCTTCAAAACTCATTCAAAAGGGAGCTTCCGTAAATTTAGTGAAAGTAAGCAACAAAATTATAATTATTTGTGATTGAGTGAGTTTTCCCTCTATTAGTTCCAGTCAGGAGCACTGGATGGTATAGTGGAGCTGACTCCACTAGCCCAGGCAGCTGCCAAGGGTCTTAATGCTATGGTCCAATTACTTCTTGACAGCGGAGCTAATATCAACTACTTCTGTGCTGTAAGTCTCTCACTCCTTGCCATTATGAGTTCACTGAGTGCATAAATACAAGCACAGATCAAATATCCCTAAAGAATGTTGTGTGCATTTTCGTATATTTTGCATACTGGTATAGGATACACTGCCAGCTCTTGGATTCACAATCATTGGTGACCACGTTGAGACATTCCACCTGCTCTTAAGCAGTCCAAACCTTGTGAAGACACTGGCAGGGGTAAGCCACTCATCAGTGATCCGAATGCACTTTTAAGGAATAAACCTTGCATGTGATAAAGCTATCATCGGTCATTATTACCTCTGTGAGGACAGAGAAATACTATTACACTGAAAAGCTGCTTGAGATTCTTGGAGGACCGGTGAGCTATTCTTATTATTTGTCCATCCATAACTACATGTGATAATATGTCTAGCAAGCAGCTGTGATGCAAGCCCAACAGGACCACTTACAGTTGCTTGTGGAAAACATTGCGGCGTACATGCGGGCTACATATCATCCTGACCTGAGAGAGGTGTGCAAACTCTGTTAGAACTCTATGGTTACATTATGGATCATAACGGCCTCTTGCAGGTGGAATCTATTCTCTTGGTTAGAACATGTTGATATCCTAAAAATGCCATAAAAGGTTTCAATAATAGGTTCCAAACTCTACCCGACATCAACTAAGACAATTAGAGCTTGGTCCAGGAGAGCAGGAGAAGATTAAGTATGTCCTGACAGACTTCTGCAGGATCTGTGTTTCTGCAATCCTTTATAGCCCTGAGGTGCATATCAGTGTGAGTCGATCCTGGCTGTTCTGTGGTTAATTACATCAGAATTACATTTACAGACAGAGAATCTGATTGGGATAGCTCAAGCTACAGGAAACGTAGCTGTTGCTAATTTTCTCCAACGAACATTGTCGGGCCCAATGGTAAGATTCATAAGTAGCTTTGAAATGTGATTCCAACAGGGGAACATTTATAACCCAACAGGTATAGCTAGTCACTAAATAAAGATGTGCAATAAACAAAGATTGGGTTATAGGCACTAAAACAAAGAAAGCCACTATAAACAAAGATGTGGGGACTGGGCCTGTTCCCACATCTTGGTTAGTGGCTATACCTGTTGGAATTCGTTATTGAACTGCAGGTGGACGAAGAACTGCAGCAGAAATTTCTCATGGGAGAGCCATCTCCACTGCGCTTCCTAATTGAGAACAAGGTTTTCAAGTTGGTAGGTGCTGTCCCAGCTCTCTAAATTGTGTGGTTTGCATTTATTTTTGTACTCGATCCCTTCTGCTACTTTGTCTGATACTGTGGAATGTTCACAGCTAGTAGCCTTGACTTGCCCATTGCATCCTGTTAGGTATCTCCTGGCCTAACGTTGCAATTAAACCTTTAATTCCTTGCACAATTATCTGGTATGGCAATCGTGGAATCCCATCGATGAACATGCATCTCTTTTGGCATGTGTCAGATTATTCATAATGTTTTTTCATGTGCCGCTGTAGGACATATTTCAGATCGAGGTGTTGAAGTTTCATCCTGATGATTCTGATATCTTTTACAAGGACCTGGTTTGGACCTTTCAACATGTATGTATAATAATTATTACCTTTCCCCCATGAACACTTTTAATTATGTTGACAGATGAGTGGAGGGGCTAACCTTCCTGATCGTGGTATGTATTATTATTATTATTGTTTATGTACATCATCAAGTGAAGCTACTCTGTTTTGTCAGTTGAACCAATGCTAAAACAGCTCTTCAGTGCAAGATTCACTCCCACAACTTCATTTCAGTCAGGAACACACAGTGGAATAGGTATATATATGCCAATTCAGTACGTGTACCACTGCTTACACAATGAAAAAGCACTAAAGTGTAAACCCTCAGCGAACTGCGCGTGCACAGTACCGCTAATTGATGGGCTGGACTATTAGTATGCGTTTACTCGTGGTCTCCCGCTAGGAACCTGACACGGGCTGTTACAGCAGTAGATAGCACGTGGGAGTCGATACACACCCTTCGTTGTGACTTCTTGTGCCTTCAGAGCAAGCGGACCCGCTCGAGGTAAGCCTGTTCTAATAAGAATATTGGCTTTTTCGCTCTTGTTTGACGCCATAACTCTTGAATGCAGCAGTTTCAGGGAAAACCCCACATATTTTCCGACCTATACTCGATGCTGAATACGTGGTATTGTTTGTAGAGCGATTCATGGCTCGTGAAGTGAAATGTCGACTGACAGGCACACACGGCAATACAGTAACCCTTGCTGCGCATGCGCACCGAAGGTTAATAATTGGCTTGGAGTATTGGGAGATACCAATGAAGTAAAGTGTTCTTAAACCAGCACAAAAGCTTTTTCACAGGATGCATATTTGCCTACAAACCAAATTGGAATTCACAAACATTGCATGTTTTGAAAAAAGTTGTCCCAATCCACAATAACTAAACTGGAGCTCTTCAAACATAATTATAGGCGGATAAAGTACAAGGTAGGAAGTAGGGATACCAGTCTTATACATCAATGTGCACATGTTATATACATTTAGAATCTCGATTGCCGTTGGAAAAGACAGGTAGACTTGTGAGGGACAACCAACCTCTGCCTAGAGAAGAGAGCAAGAGCGAGAACATTCTATCGGAGAATATGAGAAACAATCTTCCGAACCGGTCTCGGCGCTATACTAATGGTACTGTCTCCCCTCACTTCCCAGGAATATATAAATACTTGTGTTCTGTTTTCAGCGCCATTCAGTGCACAGTCCTCCTTTGTTGGGGTGGAGGAGGTATCTACAACAGGTAAACACCAATGCAGTGGAATCCCATGTGAATATTACCAGAGCAAAAAGCATTTACGAAGAGTAAATCACCCGACTAAACCAACATATTGACTGGCCTCTATACTTACCTGTGCCGTATACTCTTCCTTGTTTTTTTTTATGACATCGTATATATCCCTGCATCCCTTTATATCTTTGTTATTGCAGACAAGGCAAGATCCAAGGCAATGAAATTGGTTCAGGTTAAAGAGATCAATAGTAAGTTTGGTAAACATAATTATATGACTGTTATTAACCATGCACATCTGAGGCTGTCTTTTATATGCAGTGCCTGTGTCTGCCTTCCCTCAATGCAAGTCTGCTGCTATTGCTAATTCTGATGATGCCACTCAGCCTATGTATCATCCTTTTGTTTCCTGTAAGTCTCAAAGTAAATGCACTCTGTACACTCTCTGGTTTGTAACTCTACTATACAGTGATGTCTCCACCTGTGTCTTCTTTTCAATACCAATCTGGCACTGGTACAGATTCTAGTAGATCCTCATCATTGGCTACAGGAAGCAGCTACAATCCTGGTTAGTAATACGATCTGTGTGTAGCACTTATTGCATGCCTAATTGTGTACACTGAGATTCAGCAATTGGTTCACCTGGACCAACACCTCCTTCGTTAAGGCCTCAAGGCAATTCTGGTATTTACTTGTCAATGGTTTAATCTTGCCATCACCAAAATTGCAATAAATAATTGGGGAGAAAATGCAGTTTGAAAATTGTATATAATATTTATAACGATCTGCAAAGGATTTTTCTTTGCCACCAAGACGAGAAAGTCATCTAGGGGTAAATTAATATTTGTGTTTCGTTAGCAAACGTGAGTTTAGTGGAGAACATTCTTAATCCTACCCCAAAAATACAGGGAAACATAGCTATATAGGGCCATGAATGAAAGGAAGAAATTTTCCTGGTATAATAGGCTCAGCCTTCTCAAACCACATTCATTGTTATGTGCATGTAGCGAGTAGTACAATACAGTAGTAGCTAACCTTAAACATATCCCAGCAATGCATCTATGTGTTTGTAACAGGAGAAGGAGATTGTTCATATCTTCCAAACACCACAGTTGAACCAACTGGTGTATCACTAGGTGAAGGTGCTTATGGTGAAGTATGCGAGGTTTCATACAAGGGAAACATATATGCAGCAAAGAAGTACAAAATATCAAAAAAGGAAGAATGAAAGTGCAAACCCTCGGCGAACTGGGCATGCGCGGTACCGCTAATTGATGGGCTGGACTGCTATTAGTATGTAGTATACTCGTGGTCTCCCGCTGACACGGGCTAGCTACAGTAGTAGATAGCATGTGGGAGTCGATACACGTCCTTCGTTGTGACTTCTCGTGCCTATATAAGCGCATGCGCATTTTCCTCAGCGATAAAAATGGCCGACTACGCATCAGCCGTACAATGGCGGAAGCGCTCTAGCTCTGCAACGGAGCATTTTCAGAGTAAACTGTTCGAAATTTCTGACCTTCATTGCCCGTTAGGTAGGTCGTATCCTTTGTGAGACGAACAGACACTCAAGAAGTGAGATTGAGAGTAACAGACAGACAGACAAACCCAACTACAGTACCTTCGCTGCGCATGCGCGCCGAGGGTAACTACATAAGAGGCTCAAGGCTTTTATTCAGGAGGTCCAAATCCCCTTACTAATCAGCCATCCCAATATCGTGCCTTACTGTGGAGTGTGCAGATTAAAAGGAGATGGAGACAACCCGGTCATTGTAATGGAAAGAATGGACAAAAACCTAACTGAATACCTAAAGGAAGGTTTGATTACCTTGGATAAAAAATTCCGAGTGTTGCTTCATGTTGCAAAAGGACTGCAACACCTTCATCAGCAGAAACCTGCCATCATCCACCGTGATCTTACAGCCAACAATGTCCTGCTTAAGAATGGAGTTGCAAAAATCGGTGATTTTGGGAACTCTCGAATAGTTGATCTTAAAACATCTGAGCCTCTTACTACTAGACCTGGTACCATCGACTACATGCCTCCAGAAGCAATGGAAGGGGGTCTCTACAATGAAAAATTGGATATTTTCTCTTACTCTCATCTCGTAATCCATGTAATAATCCAAACCTATCCCCTCCCAAAGAATCCAACTTATTATGTTGGTGCAACACTAGTTCCTCGTACTGAAGTTGAACGACGTCAGCCATACTTAACAGAGATGAAGTCGTATTTGGATGGTGATCAATACCCGTTTTATTCAATAGTTTTGAACGGTCTTGCAAATAGGCCAGACCCAAGGCCTAGCTGTGAACAAATTATTTCAATACTCCCAATGGAGTTATAATTCTGTATCGTCAGTAGTTGATTACAAGTGGGAAAATTATTTCTTCAAAATGAAAGTAGGATATAGGGATGACTTGAAGCACCAAAAAGGAAGAAACAAGGGGTCATTACACACCAAATATGCACAAAGCCACATGACACCATCCCTATATCTTTGTCTCATATTAAACTTTGCTTATGAACAATAAAACAAAGATATAGGGATGGTGTCATGTGGCTTTGTGCATATTTGGACTTGGTGTGTAATGACCCTTGTTAACCCTCGGCGCGCATGCGCAGCGAGGGTTACAGTAGTTACCCTCGGCGCGTATGCGCAGCGAGGGTACAGGCAACGGGCAATGAAGGTCAGAAATTTCGAACGGTTTTCTCTGAAAATGCTCCGTTGCAAAGCTAGAGCGCTTCCACATTGTATGGCTAATACCGGTAGTCGCCATTTTATCGCTGGCGGATAATGCGCATGCACTTATATTTAGCAAAGGACCGGGTCCGCTTGCTCCTTCTATCTTGAAGGCCACAACGAATGGCGTGTATCGACTCTCGCGTGCTATCTACTACTGTAGCTGGCCCATGTCAGACTCTCTGCGAGCTACTTCGCCGAGGGTTTGCACTTTAGTGCTTTTCATTAACCCTCGGCGCGCATGCGCAGCGAGGGTTACTGTAGTTGGGTTTGTCTGTGTGTGTGTGTGTCTGTTACTCTACATCTCACTTCTCGAGTATTTGTTCGTCCCAGAAACGATACCATCTACCCAACGGGCGACGAAGGTCAGAAAATATGTGGGGTTTTCTCTGAAAATGCTCCGTTGCGAAGCTAGAGCGCGAAAAAGCTAATATGCAAAAACGCAACGGACGGGAAGGCTTACCACGGTCGTGCTCTGCGTACTTCGGAGGCACCAGAAGATGCAACGCAGTGCGCCGAGGGTTTGCACTTCAGTGCCTTTCATTGGGTTTGTCTGTCTGTCTGTCTGTCTGTCTGTCTGTTACTCTACATCTCATCTCTCGAATGTCTGTTCGTCCCAGAAACGATACCATCTACCCAACGGGCGACGAAGGTCAGAAAATATGTAGGGTTTTCTCTGAAAATGCTCCGTTGCAGAGCTAGAGCGCGAAAAAGCCTATATGCAAATACACAACGGACGGGATAGCTTACCCCGATCCGCGTGCTATGCGTGCCTCGGAGGCACCAGAAGATGCAACGCAGGGTGTGTATCGCCTCTCGCATGCTAGTATCTAGTAGTGTAGTTAGCCCGCGTCAGATTCTGCGCAAGCTGGCAAGAGACCAAGAATAATGAAAAGCACTAAAGTGCAAACCCTCGGCGAACTGGGAATGCGCGGTACCGCTAATTGATGGGCTGGGCTGCTATTAGTATGCGTTTACTCGTGGTCTCCCGCAAGTAGCTCGCAGAGAGTCTGACACGGCCTAGCTAGCTACAGTAGTAGATACACGCCCTTCTTTGTGACTTCTTGTGCCTTAAAGATACACAGAGCAAGCGGACTCGGTCGAGGTATATAAGCGCATGCGCGTTTTCCGCAGCGATAAAAATGGCCGACTACGCATTAGCCGCAGAATGCCAGAAGCGCTCTAGCTTTGCAACGGAGCATTTTCAGAGAAAACCGCCTTTATTTTCTGACCTTCGTCGCCCGTTGGGTAGATGGTATCGTTTCTGGGACGAACAGACATTCGAGAGAGTGAGATTAGAGTAACAGACAACACAGACAAGACAGACAGACCCAATGAAAAGCACTAAAGTGCAAACCCTCGGCGAAGTAGCTCGCAGAGAGTCTGACATGGGCTAGCTACAGTAGTAGATAGCACGCGAGAGTCGATACACGCCATTCGTTGTGACTTCTTGTGCCTTCAAGATAGACAGAGCAAACCCGGTCGAGATAAGCCTGTGCTAAATATAAGCGCATGCGCATTGTCCGCCAGCGATAAAATGGCGACTACCAGCATTAGCCGTACAATGGTGGAAGCGCTCTAGCTCTGCAACGGAACATTTTCAGAGAAAACCCCACATATTTTCTGACCTTCGTCGCCCGTTGGGTAGATGGTACCGTTTCTGGGACGAACAGACATTCGAGAGGTGAGATGTAGAGTAACAGACACACACACACACAGACCCAAGAAAAGCACTAAAGTGCAAACCCTCGGCGAACTGGGGATGCGCGGTACCGCTAATTGATGGGCTGGGCTGCTATTAGTATGCGTTTACTCGTGATCTCCCGCTAGTAGCTCGCAGAGAGTCTGACACGGGCTAGCTACAGTAGTAGATAGTATGCGAGAGTCGATACACGCCCTTCGTTGTGACTTCTTGTGCCTTCAAGATACACAGAGCAAGCGGACGACCCGGTCGAGGTTATAAGCGCATGCGCATTTTCCGCAGCGATAAAAATGGCCGACTACGTATTAGCCGTACAATGGTGGAAGCGCTCTAGCTCTGCAACGGAGCATTTTCAGAGAAAACCCCACATATTTTCTGACCTTCGTCGCCCGTTGGGTAGATGGTAGCGTTTCTGGGACGAACAGACATTCGAGAAGTGAGATTGAGAGTAACAGACAGACAGACAGACAGACAAACCCAACTACAGTACCCTCGCTGCGCATGCGCGCCGAGGGTAACTACAGTACCCTCGCTGCGCATGCGCGCCGAGGGTAACAAACCCAGCCCATCAATTAGTGGTACTGCGCATGCGTTTACTTACGCGTGCGTATCAGATTGCATTGTCCCGTAAGTGTGTCGTCTGTCTGTCTGTCTGTGTCAGTCTGTCTGTTACCACGTTTTCTGCCACCGCGCGCACGAAATCAGGTAAATAGCGATATGATCGGGTTCAGTGCTACACTGGGTTGATTTTAAAAAAGGCGATTTTCGTAAAACTACTGTGTTTTAACCGAAGTGTTAATGTTGGTTATAAAAAGTCTCTATAGGCTGAAGCATCTTGTGCTTATTCCAGGAGGTGTGCTACCAGTACTGGCCTGGGAAGAGAGGACAGACCTATGGAGAGTTCAGAGTAGAGCTGCTCAGTGAGGGGTGGAAGAGTGGATTCTTATTCAGAAACTTCTCTGTCCAGCAGGCCAAGGTTAGCATAATAAGATGAAGGGGAGTTGAGTTCGTAGCTCTCTACACTGTGCAATATACCATGCAGTAATTGATTTGAACTTGCAGTTTGCCATAGCCCATCAGGTGTGGCAGTTCCACATCCCAGAGTGGAGCTCAGACTACCAGTGGCGTGGGGATGTGAATGCCATTGTCTCTGTCATAGAGGAAGTCTCCAAGGTCCGGAGGAAGACTGGGAACCACCCCATCGTCGTCCATGGACTGTGAGTTTTAGATGCCCACGTATGCAGCAGACTGAATGTGTTAGGTACATACGCCTTGCACAAACAGATGCGAAGTATGCCTTGCACAAGAGTAATAAAGAGTGGGTTGGAACCTCCTACATTCGCACCATTATTCGCATCCTCTTTTCAATTATCTGCAGTGACACAGTGAGTAGATCAGCCATATTCTGTGGTGTGGCCACCACCATTGAGAGGTGTAAGACAGAGGGAGTGGTGGATGTGTTCCAGGTGGTCAAAGCCATGAGAGTTCAGAAACCTGGAGCTATACAAACTTTGGTATGAGTACTAGCATTTACGAATGTTGATCAGACACACATTTTCCCACTTGCAGGAACAGTATAAGTCGATCTTTGAAGCTATTTTAGCATATATTGACTCATTCGAAACATACTCAAATTTTGCTTCTTAGATGTGTTGTAAGTATAAACTCATGCAACGCAATTGTTGCCATGGTGTATTTGTTTTAGTTCACTTCATGATGTTATTAAACTCCAGAGACCCTGGAGGGTTGCAATGCCTTGCACGTCAACTGCGCATGCGTGAAAGTCCAGGCCTTGGAGGGCATGGATGAAGGGGGCTGGACTAATAACAAGATGGGTAGCGGTCAGAAACTCCTGAGAGCTGATTATAACTGCAATACTACCTACCCAGGGCCAATCCCCTGTAGTATAGTTGACTTCCAGTAGTATAGTTGACGAGGGTTGTGCATAAATGCCGAGTCATGCTTTGTGTGGCAGGAGAAAGTGCCGTCAGTGGTGATGATCACCAACCTGGTGGAGGGGAAGAAGACAAAGTGTGAGCAGTACTGGCCATCCTCAGGATCTCAGGATTTCGGGCCGTTCCACGTATCCATCACTCACCAACTCACCCTCGCTGACTATACATCATCAGGACACTCATTGTTGAGGTATTAGGGACAGAGTACTGGGTCCACATTTTGCACAAGCAGTAGATCAGTTAGTTACTGGCCAAGTCTAGTATAATTATTTATAGCAGTAAATTTGATTCCCCATAGCAGAAGATTATCATGTATGTAATAACAAAGAGGTCTGAACCAACTTGGAAGTATAAGCACACATACACACTCCCTGTATCCTTCTCCTGCCAATAGTATGTACTCATTGTTAACCCTCGGCGCGCATGCGCAGCGAGGTTTACGGTAGCTAACCCCCGGCGCGCATGCGCAGCGAGGGTTACTGTAGTTACCCTCGGCGCGCATGCGCAGCGAGGGTACTGTAGTTGGGTGTGTGTGTGTGTCTGTTACTCTCAATCTCACTTCTCGAATGTCTGTTCGTCCCAGAAATGATACCATCTACCCAACGGGCGACGAAGGTCAGAAAAATATGTGGGGTTTTCTCTGAAAATGCTCCGTTGCAGAGCTAGAGCGCTTCCACCATTGTACGGCTAATGCGTAGTCGGCCATTTTTATCGCTTCGGAAAATGCGCATGCGCTTATAACCTCGACCGGGTCGTCCGCTTGCTCTGTGTATCTTGAAGGCACAAGAAGTCACAACGAGGGCGTGTATCGACTCTCGCATACTATCTACTACTGTAGCTAGCCCGTGTCAGACTCTCTGCGAGCTACTAGCGGGAGATCACGAGTAAAACGCATACTAATAGCAGCCCAGCCCATCAATTAGCGGTACCGCGCATCCCCAGTTCGCCGAGGGTTTGCACTTTAGTGCTTTTCATTGGGTCTGTCTGTCCGTCCGTCCGTCCGTCCGTCCGTCCGTCCGTGTGTCTGTTACTCTCAATCTCACTTCTCGAGTGTTTGTTCGTCTCACAAAGGATACGACCTACTTAACAGGCAATGAAGGTCAGAATTTTTGAACAGTTTTCTCTGAAAATGCTTCGTTGCAAAGCTAGAGCGCTTCCGCCATTGTACGGCTAATGCTAGTCGGCCATTTTTATCGCTGCGGAAAATGCGCATGCGCTTATATTATTTTCAACGGGTCGGCTTGCTCTGTGTATCTTGAAGGCACGAGAAGTCACAACGAAGGGCGTGTATCGACTCCCGCATGCTATCTACTACTGTAGCTAGCCCGTGTCAGACTCTCTGCGAGCTACTAGCGGGAGACCACGAGTAAACGCATACTAATAGCAGCCCAGCCCATCAATCAGTGGTATATACCTCGCATGCCCAGTTCGCCGAGGGTTTGCACTTTAGTGCCTTTCATTGGGTTTGTCTGTGTGTTTGTCTGTTACTCTACATCTCACCTCTCGAATGTCTGTTCGTCCCAGAAACGATACCATCTACCCAACGGGCGACGAAGGTCAGAAAATATGTGGGGTTTTCTCTGAAAATGCTGCGTTGCAGAGCTAGAGCGCTTCCAGTATTGTATGGCTAATGCCGGTAGTCGCCATTTTATCGCTGGCGGATAATGCGCATGCGCTTATATTTAGCACAGGCTTACCTCGACCGGGTCCGCTTGCTCTGTCTATCTTGAAGGCGCAAGAAGTCACAACGAATGGCGTTTATCGACTCTCGCGTGCTATCTACTACTGTAGCTAGCCCGTGTCAGACTCTATGCGAGCTACTTCGCCGAGGGTTTGCACTTTAGTGCTTTTCATTGGGTCTGTCTGTCTGTCTGTGTGTCTGTCTGTTACTCGTCATCTCACTTCTCGAGTGTTCGTTCGTCTCACAAAGGATACCACCTACTGAACGGGCAATGAAGGTCAGAAAATATGTGGGGTTTTCGCTGAAAACGCTCCGTTGCAAAGCTAGAGCGCGAAAAAGCCAATATGCAAATACACAACGGCTTACTACGGCATGATCGATCCGCGTGCTCTGCGTACCTCGGAGGCACCAGAAGATGCAACGCAGGGCGTGTATCGCCTCTCGCATGCTATCTAGTAGTGTAGTTAGCCCGCGTCAGACTCTGCGCGAGCTGGCAAGAGACCACGGGTAACAGCTAAAACTAAACCCAGCCCAGCAATTAGTAGTACGGCGCATGCGTTTACTTACGCGTGCGCGTCACAGTACGCCGAGGGTTTGCACTTCAGTGCTTTTTCATTCCTGTCAGTATCACCACCAAATTTTGTACCATCCCTATACCCCACTTGAAGTATAAGTTGTATCTCTGCTGTCTGCAGCTCTCAGGGAAGACCAGGAAGGTGACTCATTTCCACTACACAGCCTGGCCAGACCACGGAGTGCCCGACTATGCCACCTCCATACTCAACTTCCATGAGATGGTTATGAAAGACCACAAGGCCCACAGTGGTATTTTACATTGCTGTGTTGCACATAGTGTGGCTGGTGTATTACGTTGCCACAAACACATTGTTGTCCATGAACTTGCTGTTTGGCATGGGACCTCAGTTTTCCTTTCCTATAACATAATATAATTGTGGATGGTAGCAGAAAAAGTCTCGAGTGCACTTTGTTAAACCATGTATCTTTGTTGAGTGTATCGATGAATTATGCAGATGCTGGACCATGTCAGTTCAAATGTAGGAGAGGCAAAATCATTTGCTGCACAAAACAACCTCGCCAAGAATAGATCTACTGACTTCTTACCAGGTTATTTCCCAACACACATTCTAATGTGCTATATACCCAAGTGACCTGTGTTCCCTTCCCAAACACACAGTGGACAATTGGAGAGTTGTTTTGAAAGGAGAAAACCAGACTACATACATGCTAGCAGTGTCCATGTAAGAAACTGTTGCTCTATCTGTGTTTCTATTGGAAGAGGAGGTAGGGCCAGATAAATGTATTCCACATGCTGTGTCTGCAGGGCTACAAGAAGCACAGGGCATTCATCATTACACAGGGACCAATGCGCTCCACTGCTAGAGACTTCTGGAAGATGGTCTACAGCAGGAAGTGTAGTGTGGTCGTCATGTTATCAGACCTCATTGAACTTGATGAGGTGACACATTTCTATTATGATGGTGATATGTTTTAACCTCTGTAATAGACTACATTTGATTGTACTAAGCACTTGCTTGCACAAGAGCGTCGTAAACTTCTGCTTGTGAAGTGAAAGATGAAAGATGAAAAATCAAACCACAATTCACTGAATCTGCCCCACTCAATGGTGTACTGTAAACTCTAGGTTTAGCTTGAGAGTTGTGTTTCATTAAGAGGTGATGTTATCTTTTGTGGTATACCAGGAGGTGTGCTACCAGTACTGGCCTGGGAAGAGAGCACAGACATATGGGGAGTTCAGAGTAGAGCTGCTCAGTGAGGGGTGGAAGAGTGGATTCTTATTCAGAAACTCCTCTGTCCAGCAGGCCAAGGTTAGTTGAGTTCGTACCTCTCTACACTGTGCACATGATTGATTTGAACTTGCAGTTTGCCACAGCCCATCAGGTGTGGCAGTTCCACATTCCAGAGTGGAACTCAGACTACCAGTGGTGTGGGGATGTGAATGCCATGGTCTCTGTCATAGAGGAAGTCTCCAAGGTCCAGAGGAAGACTGGGAACCACCCCATTGTCATCCATGGACTGTGAGCTTTAGCTAGTGGATCATTATGAAGCTGTCAATGGACATAAAAGCAACTGCAAGGCATAACACCCACAACAACCCATTTCCATACTGACATGGACGTGAAAAATTTAATGCACATTAAAAGTTATTAACCCTATCAATTTGAAGGCAGTCAGTGTCACTGTGTTAGCAAATGTCCTCACAAACAGGCCAAAATTATTATTCCTCCACATAGCTACAACTGACGCCCTTTACTAGACATGCGCGAGTTCATCAGTTGTCAGTTTATTCAATAGCTCCTTGAGTTCTGAACATTCTAGTTATCCAAATCTATTGCTATACAGTGATACAGTGAGTAGATCGGCCATATTCTGTGGTGTGGCCACCACCATTGAGAGGTGTAAGACAGAGGGAGTGGTGGATGTGTTCCAGGTGGTCAAGGCCATGAGAGTTCAGAAACCTGGAGCCCTACAAACTGTGGTACGTGTATAGCTTTTCAAAGTTCTTTGGGTTTACTGAACAGGTGCTTTCATTCAACAGGAACAGTATCAGTCGATTTATGAAGCTCTTTTGGTGTTCATTGACTCATTTGAAACATACTCAAATTTTACAACATAAATTTTATTTTATCGTCACATCAAATTTTTTTGTGTTCATCAGTTGCAGGAGCTCATTACTACACGATGCGCAGTGGTGTCGCATGAAAACCGGTGGTGTTACAAATGTTGTAGAAGCAAATTTTAGCGGCGGAAAACGCACATGAACACAATGAGCGTCTCTTGCTAAAATCGACGTCCAAATCAAATCCACGAAGGTTTTTGCACTACATTAAGTGTACACACCTTGAAGGGGTCGTACTGCATAGCGTGGAGGACGACGAGAGAGGCAGTGTAGTAACAAGCGCGTGCGCATGCGTTTAAGAAATTAACCCTTGTTCTGAGCGTGTGCGTGGGCGAAGGTCATCACGCGCTACTATACTACTCTGCGCAGGTTTAGTGCGCAAAGGGCGCAACGAGCCACCGCAGTCTGGTGCTCAGACCTTTACAAAAACAAGCGCCGCTCGCTTGGGCATCAGACTATGTTATACATAGCTGAGAGCTCGCGCTAAGGTCAGCCAAATCCAAGGCTATTATTGGCGTGTAGAGCTAGACTCTTATTTAGCTAAACCAGATTTAGTTAGCATTTAGCTACTTCATTCCTAGTTTCCGTAATTTTTTAAAATGCAGATGTCAAAGGGTTTAGAAGTGTGTATCCTGATCTCTGCTTTGTATTCACTGTCTGTTGGCTCAGACATTTCCATATGTCAGCAGCTTCCAAGGACAAACTCTGGCAAACCATGGCTATGTGGACCTCAGTCTTGTGGGGATGAGTGGCAGTGTCAGTGTTGTGTGTCACACTGATCTGGAAACATGCTGCAGTGTTGCACAGGGTCCATACAGAGGAGACTGGTACTTTCCTAATGGAACACGGCTATCATTTGCTGGTGACATCTATGAGGGTCGTGGTCCTCAAAGAGTTAATATATCGGGTCATACAAGCAACGAAGGTGCATCTGGTATATATCGCTGTGAAATACCAACAAATGCAGTTCATGATGAAACTGATATCATGAGTGTACGAGATACAGTATATGTTGGACTCTATCTCAATGGAGAAGGTGAGAAGTGCTAGCAGCACCAACAACTTTTTATTGTCATTCATTAGGTGATATCGCTGTAACTGAGATCAAAACAAATTTAGAAATGGATACTTGCATTTCCCAACTCATCCTCACCTGTATCTCCACTGGTGGACCTGCTACCACTGTCACTTGGACCAGAGACTCCACTACTGTCACCCAAGGAACCCAGACTGTGTTGAATGACCCAGTGACTGCACAGTACACCCACACTCTGACTGTGACTGGGACTCTGGGAGGAAACTACACATGTACTGTGTCCAATAACAAGCCATCCAGTAAATCATCGAGTATCACAGTTAGCGGTAAGTACGGTGGTAATAGAGATGATAACAATACACATTGTTGGTTCATTTGGCTATTTCAGTTCCATCACCCCCAACTAATCTGACCCTGGAGCAAAATAATGAGACAAGCATCAATGCATCATGGAGTCCACCTCCCCAGTCTGCAAACATTACTGGATACAGAGTGTTCTGGACTCAGTGTGCCTCCTCTGACTGTATCAACCAACAGTGATTAATTCCTCGACAGTTGAAACACTACAGGCTTGATGGCAGGGCAGTGCTACAGTGTTTCTGTGGTTAGTGTCTCATGTCTCCCAAGCAATACTGCAACCCGCAATATAACTTTAGGTAATTTTCTTCCTTGTTGCTAAAAGTTTCTGTCTCACAAATTATATATTCTCTATTAAAGTTACTCATCCAGATAGTTTCAACATTGATGTGGCATCTACTAGCCATGGTTTCTCACTGATGATAAACCTTAGTAACTATGTAGAAAACGGGATCTATCGTATTATGACCAATGTGACTTGGTTGAGATTTTTGCACTGTAACAATGGCCTCGGAAGCTCTAATGTGACTGACCAGACATATGATGTGAATCCAATGAATCTAAGCATTACTGGATTAGTTCCTAACAGTGAATACAATATGACAGTGGTGGTAAGTAATGCTCTGGGAAGCAGAACAGAGAGTTTTTCTAATCAGACTCAGCCAGCAGGTACAGTCATTAACCCCTATGAAGCAAACGTTTACACATGTATTATTCTGCAGCACCATCTGCCCCACCACAAGACATAGTGGCAGTCAACCAGACCCTCTTCACCATCACCATCAGTTGGCAGCCTGTTGACTGTGCCCATCAGAATGGGAATATAACAGGATATGAAATACGATATAGGAAAAAAGACGGTGGAAATACCGAAGCAATGTCGGACATAATGGGTGCACATTATACCCTAACTGACTTGCAGCCATCAACTGCATACTTGATTCAAGTGGCAGCAAACAACACAGCTGGCAGAGGAGTTTTTGGAAACATATCAGCATCAACCCTATGTGAGTTGAATACTTTGAGGCATAATATTATGATTAGTTACCAAGTTCTTTTGTGTGCAGTTGAAGTTCATGTGATATCAACAACTTCAACTTCCATTAACATATCATGGGCCGAAGTTGACTATGAAGTCCTAATCACATGGATCAGCACTCTATCAAGCCATTGTACACAAAATATCGATCAAAGTTTAAAGAATGATTCTGTGAATGGGAAATCCTCTTATGTGATAGATGGTCTGAAAGTATTCACCGAGTATAACATCACACTTTGCATAAATGGCTCTATCTGTACTTTCAAGACTGTAGTGACTAATGCAACTGGTGTGTTCATTTCATAATCTTGTACGATTCTTAAAAATTGGTAATTCTTTCAGCACCATCTGCACCTCCAAAAGGAATGTCATGGGAAGGAAGTTCATCGACAAACATCACCATAAAATGGGATCCTGTGCCATGTGCTGATCGCAATGGAAATATCACTAGTTATGTGGTGATGTTCAGAGAAAATGGGAAGGAAATGTTCCATAATGAAACTACTACTGGAGTTGATATGGAGTTCACTATCACTGGGTTAGCACCATCGACTGAGTATGAGATTAAAGTTGCTGCTTTCACTGTTGCTGTTGGACCGTTCACTAATGAAAGCTTTTTTGCCAGCACCACAGGTAGCTATATGCATAATTAAAAAAATTGCACTATACCCTGCACGTTTGTGTGATAATACAGACTCACCAAACATAATTTACCATTGTACTGAATATCTCCTCCTATACCACAGCAGACACTAGAGAAGGTGGCAGTAATGTTGGTGGAGTAGTGGCTAGTGTGATAGTGTCTGTTCTGTTTTTTATTGGAGCTACTCTGGGCATCATTGCTGCTATCTGGCTAATGAGAAGGTGTAGATGTTCATTGGGAATTTTCTTCATACCTACACTCTTGTGTGTGCTCTGCAGGAAAAAGTCAACTATGAAGGGTCTTTTCTCAATTGGTCACTTTAAAGTCACCCGCAAACAAAGCACCTTGCCACACTCTAGAGATACACAAGATATTTCTCTGGAGCAGCTTTCCAGTAAGTCAATACATAATATGGGTCTGCCCTAAGACTAGTTAGTATCTTGTTCTCAGCTGGAAGGAGCTGGCAGGTGCACAGCTATCCTCTGAGAAAGATGAAGTCAAAACACACTGTTCAGTCTCACTCTGACAGTCCCTCACAACAGCCAGCTACAGTACAAGCTATACCCTATCTCTCCTATCTAGCTGATGAGGAGGTAGAGGAGGAGGAGGAGGAGGAGGAAGAGGCTGATCCGGTACCCAAGCCTTCAGGTAAGTTTCATACAAGACCAGTACCTCTGCCAGTGGCTCTGTTTGGGAACAATGTGGAGAAGAAACACACCAACAACAACCAGCCTTTCATGACTGAGTTTGAGGTAAGTCAAAATATGTTAAATCAAACAATTTCATTTTGTTGTTGTATGGATGTAGGCACTGGGTGATGGGGAAGGAAAGACTGTTACTGTAGCAAGGACACCACGTGTATTTTCTGCCAAAAAGAAC